CGCCGCCGCCGCCGGACGCCCAGACGCCAGCGCGGCCCTTCCCGTGGTGCTCGGCGGCGGCTCGCGCCCGTCGCCGGCGCGCCGCCGAGTTCCCGCCTCTTCCCGAAGTTGTCCCCGGAGCGGCGGCATGGCGGGCGCCGCCCACTGCTCCCTGCAGGCCAAGCGCCTGCTCTTGGACCCCAAGTTCGAGGGCTACAAGCTGTCCCTGGAGCCGCTGGCCTGCTACCAGCTGGGGCTCGACGCGGGTGAGGAGCGGGGCTGGGTCCGGCGGCGGGGCGGGGGGTGAGCCCGCCGGGCCTCCGCTTCGCCCTGCGGCCCGGCCGGCCCCCTGGGCAGCGGGGGAGGGCACCGGCTCCGTCCTCTCGCCGTGCTCCGCGGCCCGGCCCAGCGGCCCTCGGCGCAAGCGTGCCCTGCGCTGGGGAGAGCCGCCTTACCGGGAGGCCGGCGGGCGTTTAAGGGAGCCGGTGTTTCGTCTCGATTTCTGCCGTCACGATGGGCCGCAGCGTTCTCTCATCGGTGTGTCCGCCGCCCGCCCTCCCCTTCACGTGTCTTCAGGGTGGACCAAGGGCTCTGACGGTTGTCGAGTCACTGCCCGGCAGTGTCTGCCCCTGCGAGTTTGGACTTAGTTTCCAAACGGGTAGGATCATCTGCGTGCTGAATCTGGTCTTGGCTTGTGCGCCTGTGGTAAGGCCGGAGGACGGGTTCAAAGAGGTAGCGTGCATGTGAGCGTGATGGAGTCCATGCCATTTAGAGAAATAGGTATGAAATTAGTATCTTCGACAAACTTCAGCAAATTAGCCGTTTTTCCTTCTTGCTCTGCCCGCAGTTCAGAGGTGGATCTTCAGGCGATGCATTCCGCACTCTGCTAAGCATTATTGACATTTGAGGTACTGGCCCGTTAATGGGCTAATTCACTGAGAAGAACGTTAGCCCAAAGTCATGTCGGGTATGTGCGTACAACCTTAGCCATGCCCCCTGAAACCTCTCAACATTCTACCTTTTATTGAGTTGTGAAATTTAAGTCTTTTGTAAGGTGGATGAATTAGTCTCCTTTTTTTATAAAGCTGGGACAGTAATGTACTATTTGGGTGGACTGATCTCTACCTCTGTGTATTTACTGAACAATATACGTGTCTACAGAGTTATCTGTTATGTGTTACTTTAGTTTTGTGGTGAATACATTGTATTAGTAGTGGATCAGAAAGGTATGTTTGCCATGGTGAGCTGTCCGCAGTAAGATGGAAGTTGTATGTGAATTGTGTATTGAAGGACGAGTGAACGAGACTAAGGTGATACTGTATGCGTATCTATGATAGCACTGGAAAATTTAATGAAAGTAACATTTTTGTTATGTATTTTGACATTTTTACTGGAAGACTGATTTAGGTGCCATCTTTCAAAAGCCAGTCCAAATGTAAGTGAGTGTATGTGTGTTAGGAGTGTACTACAGCTGTGCCAAAGGTGGCAACAGCGTAGGTACAGTCTCTTACTTTGTCCTTTATTTGATGTTCTGCCTATGGCCAAACAAGCTATGTGGTTCTTGGATAGTCAGTTGTGCACCTATTCTAAATAGATGAGGATTACAGATTTTCATTAAAATGTTTGAATGATGGAGTTGCTAATGGAGAGATGGATCTCGTCAGTTCTTGTCCGTTCAGATATTTTACATGATAGTTACAGTAACCTGTGTGATAGAAGATTGGTATGTCTGCCTGTGTACTTTTCTTTCTCCACTTCCCACAGCACAGAGCCTGACTCATTTTGGTCTAACTTATTCAGCTGTCCTACTCATCCTACTAAATCATTAATACTAAGTCACTTATTCTGTTCTCTGTGTGTGTATGTATTTATATATAGGTATTGATCCACTGGCAAGTGGAAAGCTTTGTTGTTGTTGTTGTTTTTTAAAGTAGTAACTTGAAATATAAACCAAACTAGGCCCTATATCTGTCTTCTAGATGTTTTGTTTGTCCATATTTCAGCCTGCTCTTAGGCCATACAGCTGGCTCTTTCTCTTTGCTGGTTTTCTTCTGCTTGCTTCAAGGCAGTTTCCTCACAGTACAGAGATGTTCTGTACCTGAATTTTGCATTTCCTGGTGTCAGTGGTCTACATATGTGTTAGACTGAGGGTATCCTTCCATAACTTGACTTTTATGTTGCGCAGTAATAATGGGTTGAGTTGTAGAGACCACGGATGGTGTGTAAGCCATGGCTTTTTCAAATTACTACATGGGAGAAGAAATTAGTACTGTGTGAGAAGGCCAAGGACTTCTGCTTTCCACCACATTTGTGAGCAGATTAAAAGTCTCGGGAACATGATGAAGAACTTGGTAGCTTGTGGGTTATTAAATTAATATTTGTCACCGAGCGAAGAGTTTGATTTTATTTCCTTAAAGTGGGAGTGAGTAAAGTATAATAGCTGAAAAAAAACCCCAACGTTTAGGAACACTGTCAGCATAACTCATTTCCAATTTTGTTCTCAACTGTGTGCAAAAATGTGGTAGTAGAATCTGGAAGATTAATGTAAAAAGGCTATTGACTTTTTTGTTTGTTTTCCAGGAAACTATTTCAGGAGTGCTTGTCTCAAATGACCTGGTCTTTGGAGCCTGCCTGTGTGGCATCCCAAATTTCATGGCAGTAAGATGAACATGTGAGGTTCAGAGTACTTGGAATACATGACAATAAATAGCAATAGGAACTCATTCTTAGGTAGAACTGATTAACTCAGCTGTGGTTGAAGTATTTATGCAGTGTTATTACAAACTTGTGTATTAAGCATTAGAGTATTAATCTTCTTTGTCAATATTTTTGTCTATGTTTTTATATTTATCCATTTTTATGAATTTCACTGCTAGCTAGAAATAAAATGACCCCCCCCCAAAATTGACACATAGAATTGCTGCAGGATTCTACTACTGGAGCAGGTGAATAGCAGCACATGGTATTGCGGGACAACTTGTGGCAGTTGTCATGCTCATGTGGACTACAATGAGCTTCATTTTCTGACCATTGTGTAAAACTTAGTATTCAGTTCTAATTTGCCTTTAACCGTCAAACTGTGGTTGCCAGGAATTTGCTGTGGTCAGATGTGCAGTTGAAGCAGAAAGAAATTTAAAACATTTATTTATTTATTTATTAGATCTGTGGTAGAGGGGAATTTTCTAGTGAATTTCTTAAATATATGGTTACAGTGAAGAAGAATGGTGAAATTCTGATATCTTATATTCCCTTTTAAATACACTGATTTACATGTTCTTTTATTTCTTCCTTACTCCTACCCATTCTGTCCTAGTTAATCTAAACTTTCACAATCATTTCTCTTCTCTCATCTCTCATCCCCGTAACATGCTTTGACTAGGAATGAGTCTCACACTATTATACCTTTAATTCCCAACTCTTCATCCTAAATTTTGTCTATTTTTCTCCTTATTTTCCATAGTTTATTTCCATAACTTATTTTCAAGTGCTTCCTTTGCATTGAGCTTTGTAATGCCTTTCTTTTAGATCACTGAGCTTTTGGGAGGGAGGAAAGAGCATCTTGTTTACTGTCACCTCTTCTGCCCTGATCTGATCTCAGCAAGAGCCCAAAGCGGTGATTGTGGGGCAAATCCTTGTCTTCAGCAAGGAGCATATCTAAGACGCACGACATTTTTGAAGGAATGAGAACCGTGCTCTTGACTTCCACTGGTCAGATGTAACTTGAATCCCTTTTTTTTTTTTCCACAGAGGCTTAGAATTTATTCAAATGTGGATATTTCTTATGCCTTTCCTCTCTATCTTGTATAATGGTTCTGCCAAATAGACATGTGATGTAGTGTATGCCTTTTGATACAGTAGCAGCTAAAAGGCATAGTAAACATTCACTCAAACATGGAGCTCCTGCTGCAAGCCAGGAGAATACGCAGAGAATGTATTCCTTTGGTCAGGTGCATTTAGGATTTTTTGTCACTTTTTTTTGAAAAATGTTGTTAATAAATGACTGCTCTATTTGCAGCCTGTTTAGACCAGAAGGTCTGTACTTCAGTGAGAAGTAGTTGCTTGTTAACTGTAATTTAGTGAAAAGTAGTTGCCCATTAGTAATGCTGCATGGAAAACATGCATTTATGTCTTTTCATGGAGCCAGAGGTACTGATATGTTTCAAACATTTATAGAGATTTCCATTTGCATTTTCCATTTCAATTTCAAAAATTAAATATAGAAAAAAGTTTTTAAAGTAATGTATGGGAAATACTAAGAAGCTGAACCCTGGCTTTTTCAGACATTTACAGCTGTAGTTCATAAATCTAGGTTTAGGTTTCAGGCACATGTGTATCTGGTCTTTTGTTGTACTTAAATTTCTTGAGAAAGAAAAAGACAGTGTAGAGGCAAGTTCTGCCTTGGAACTGTTGTTAAAGAAAATGGTTCTTGCAGCTGGCACAAGTCAGCTTATAAATCTATGCATTGCTGTAGTGACACTTTCACAAATACCTTGCTAGTTTTTGGATCTTGTTAAATTTATTTGTTCAATTTAGGGCATGATACATTGCGTTTACTTTTCATACCTCTATAAGTAATCTGATCAGGCAAAAAAAAATCATTACATGGTATCTGTCAGCCTGTGCTTGTTTTCAGCAAGCTATGTGTTTATTAAACAGTAAATTTTTGTGTTTAGTCTATTAACATACTTACTGCAGTAGAATAAACAAGCCTTGTACTTTTACTCAACAACAGCAATGAGATGATGCTGCCATTAACAATAAAAACATATTTGTTAATACTAAAAAAGAATGCAGGGTTAGAAGGATCTTTGAATGCTGCTACTAGAAAAATAAATTAATGTAGTCTCTTCCACTAGTAGGTAAATGTACATGAAATACTAAATTGCTTCCACTAGGTGGCATTGCAAAACAAAGTATGACATACAAGCATATAACATTCAATGCCCCAAAATAATATGTTGATGTAATTATTTACGTACTTTCCGGTATTGTAAAGTTGTTTTGATATATTCAGTAAAACATCTAAAAAGGGGGGAGGGGGTTTCTCACCCTTTTTTATCTGCTTTTGTTTTTTTCTCTAGTTCTGCTTTATAGCGTTTGATGGCAGATGTTAGACTTCATTATTCATTTTAAGTATAAGTCCCTTGATAGTGTTCTTTATTCAGAGGAGATTTTTTTTGCAGTGCACAGTAATAATTATAATAAGATCCAGTTAGGTTAGGGATGTCTTACCCCTGTTGATTCTTATGAGTTGCTTTGTATTTAGTGCTTTTGCTTGTAAGTAAAGGCGGTCTGAGTGAAGATCTTTACTTAATTATCTTCGAACTGTTTTGAGTCAAATTACTTTTTTTAAGCATGGAGCTGGAGATAAATACAATTCTAGAAAGTGGCATTATTTTCTTTGTACTTATCTGAAATATCCCACCTAACTAGGGTTGTTGGGAAATAATATTGAAAGCTGAGATTTAGTTTATATGTTCTCTCTTTTCTGGTGTGACAGAGTATGAATCAACGTTCCTGGGTTTTAGTAGTGCAGATGTATTTATCAGAAACTTGAAGGAGACCATTTATCATTCTGTTGAATAGCTGTCATTAACTGCTGCTTGTTAATTGAACCCCAAAAGCTGAAGCTAGGGAATTAGTCTGACTCCTAAAAAAACCCTGAAAACCAAAGCCCCAAACAAAAACCCCAAAACAAAACCAAAAAACCACCCACAAACCAAACAACAACAACAAATCAGCAATAAATCCTGACCAAACAACCAAAAAAACCCTGCAAAACTATCTAAGGTGATGATCTGATTGAAGTATTTCTTCTTTTGCTTTTATATTAACTTCTGTTTTTCTGAATTTACTTTAATAAAGTTTCCATTTCTTCTCCCTTTTGCCCTTCATTTTTTTCCGGAACTCAGCTCTGTTGGTTTTCTTGTCATTTTTCCAAGGACCATAAAGAAAACTTGAACCTGGAAGGCTGTAGAAAGGAAGGAGTGAACTTAATCCTAGTGTAAAATCTCCTATAAACTATCGGAGCACACGGTGTGTGATAGGAAATGGCATTTGTGCACACATTTCACTTGATCACAGAATGGTTTTCAATTAATCAAGGTTGGAGTAGGTGCTGTAATTACTTCTTCTTGGCAGAGAGCTATAAGTGTTTCATGACAGTACACATATGTTTGATTTCCTGGTTTAAAATCACCTACAAATTGTATAGTTTCTGGCTTCTGTTTATGAAGAATTAATTACATATTGCAATTATACAAGGGATTTGGATCTCCTGTTCCTGACCCCTTATTATTCAGGGCTTGTCAGGACTACAGGGTGAAAAACTCAAGGACAGAGAATTTATTCGTGTTCTTCCAGCTTTTGTAAAGCTTATCACCTTACAATCAGCTTATCAATAGTATATTGTTCCAAGAATTTTCTTGAAAGGTTACACATTTGCTTTAGGGAACATCTAGTTTGGAGTATTTTCACTATTTGTATGTGTTTTAGTTACAATTCTGACAGTAGCAATGTGTCTGGGGTGGAGGGGGAGAAGTGGAGGAAGGAACCTTTACAAAATAAAACAATTTTAGGTTTTCTGTGCTAAAAAAGCTTTACATGCTTCCACATATGTATTCTGATTTCAGAAGATCAATTAATGTAGCTATAAAGGAAGTAGATGACATGTACTTGGTTTCGCTGAAAATAATTATCTTGGATTATATTTGGTTTTGTCTTTAATTGTTTACAGAATATTCACATCATCTCTTGTGTTGGGAAGAATATGCCTGTGATAAAGCTTGATTGTACAAACAGCTTTAAAATGTGTTTTTGCAACACATCCTTCTAATTTCTTTTACAGTGTGATTTCCTGTAAAATATTCTAATTAGTTAAAGTAGAAATTGGAATGGGTAGCAGTCGTTCCCATTATGATAGGTGTATTTTCTTCTCACTCCTTTGTTGATATTCTGGCTTTTTTTGAAGGGCCATGGCTTGGGAAACAGTAATGTATTAATTGCAGAGGTACAGAAATCCCTCCTGTGTGGTGAATATGAATAATTATTTGAGCCGACTGGAATTAATGCTGTTGGTTTGCAAATATCAACAGTGATTAGGAGACTAACTGCTAATTATGCTGTCATTTTGCAACCATTTTGTATAGTATGACTGGATTTTTTTATTAATTAAACAGTATAATCTTGCATAGTTTCCTATAGCCACTTTTATGTTAATAGCCAGTGTCTCTAATGGGGTCAGTTTTGAGCCATTTAATGACTTTCTGATTGATGGTATCATGATAGCTATGCAGTGGCATTTATTGCACTGCAAAATAAACTGCTGTTTGCAGTAATCAATGTTCTGGCAGAGTAGAATAATCTACTGCTTCTTCAGTAGGTTTTAAGTAGATGCTAAAGAAGAGTGTAAGAAATCTAAGAGGAGGGCTGCTGGCATAGAGTTGTGAATGGTCCCTGTTACGGGGTAGATGGAAGTGAAATATTGGAAATAGCTTTGCTCTGTTTCTGAGCAGAAAAGGGAAGGAAGTGAAAGCTGAAAAAGTAGGAACTAAAATAACTCTTGCTATGAGAAGGATTAGCCTTGAGGTACTTTCTGCATACTCTGGGTTTGAAGGCTAATCATCATGGGCTGACAGAGTTTACTTATAACTTTCTAAAAGATTTTGCTTGTTGTGTGAAGTTTGAGATAAACTTCCTGCAGGGAAAATAAGGATCCTGGGGTGACTGTACTGGAGCATGAACTGGAGTTCCAGTCTGTCTGAAACTATTTGCAGAAGGATGGACTAGACCTCTGCTAATGTCTTTGCTAAAACTTGAGGATTTTCTGGACTACATCTGCTTGATCTCTCTATGGATATGGAGTAGGAAGAAAGAGCTGCAGCTAGTTTAAATAAAACCTTGGTTAGTCTTAGAATGATAATCCTAGTTATGATTACTGGTAGCTGAAGTGGGGTTTTCTATTTGGAAAAATCTTGCTGAAGTGGATGACTGTAGGTAACATGCTTCTTGCCTTGAAGAAGGTACCATTATAGCGAACAGCCATTCTTCGCAGCCTCTTTCAGTTGGAAAAAGCTTAGTCTAAAATTTTGATGGTATCTTGGACATTTCTCAAGATTTCAACCTCAGTGGGAGTGCTAGGAACATAGGGTTTTTTGTAATGGCCGCATACTAATTCTGCTTTGTACTGTTTTAATCTTTTGCCTTGCAAGTGTTGATAGCTTGATTAGGAATTTAAGACTGTGAAATCCATGTAGTTAGGATATTTCTTTTGGCTGTTGTTTTCTTGTAGTTAAAGTAGAGCAGAATTTTCTTCCCTTACCATGATACCATGTACATATCAGGAATGATTCCTGCTCTTCCCAAGCAGAGTAAGTAGGTTACAAAGTAGGTTTTACAGAGTTGTCGGATGTGTGTTTCATCTTGTGAGAGTTATTGACAAATTGTTATTTCAACACATGTTGGGAAGAGACAGTATAGGTGTATTGGGTTTGCATGGTCAGGTTTTGGTAGCAGGGGGGCTACAGGCCCTTCTGTGAGAAGCTTCTAGAAGCTTCCCCCATGTCCGACAGAGCCAATGCCAGCCGACTCCAAGACAGACCTGCCGTTGGCCAAGGCCAAGCCCATCAGCGATGGCGGTAGCACCTCTGGGATAACAGATCTAAGAAGGGAAAAAGTTTCTGCATGAGAACAACAGCAACAGAGAGAGGAGTGAGAATATGTGAGAAAAACAGCCCTGCAGACACCCAGGTCAGTGGAGAAGGAGGAGGAGGAGGTGTTCCAGGCGCCAGAGTACAGATTCCCCTGCAGCCTGTGGGGAAGACCATGGTGAGGCAGGCAGTTCCCCTGCAGCCCATGGAGGTCCACGGTGGAGCAGATATCCACCTGCAGCCCGGGGAGGACCCCACGCTGGAGCAGGCGGGTTCCCGAAGGAGGCTGTGACCCCGTGGGAACCCCGTGCTGGAGCAGGCTCCTGGCAGGACTTGTGACCCCATGGGGGACCCGTGCTGGAGCAGTCTGTGCCTGAAGGACTGCAGCCCATGGAATGGACCCACGCTGGAGCAGTTCATGAAGAACTGCAGCCTATGGGAAGGACTCAGGTTGGAGAAGTTTGTGGAGGACTGTCTCCCGTGGGAGGGCCCCCATGCTGGAGTAGGGGACAGGAAGAAGGGAGGGGTGGGGGGAAGGTGTTTTAAGATTTGGTTTTATTTCTCATTATCTGACTCTGATTTGATTGGTAATAAATGAAAGTAATTTCCCCAAGTCAACTCTGTTTTGCCTGTGATGGTAATTAGCGAGTGATCTCTCCCTGTCCTTATCTCAACCCACAAACTTTTCATTATATTTTCTATTCCCTGTCTGGCTGAGGAGGGGAGTGATAGAGCGGCTTTGGTGGGCACGTGGCATCCAGCCAGGGTCAACCCACCAAAATAGGCCACTATCAATGGTAATAGTTATTACATGATCACAGTGAATGCAGTGGCCTTCAGTGTGGATGATCTGCTTTCCAAGTTTATGGTAAAATTTTAAACTATGTATACATAATGTATTTTTCTTCAAATAAACCAGACCTATGGATTAAGGATGGAAGAATTATTTTAAAATTATTAGTTTGAACTTTAAATTATTAATTAGTAATTTTTAAATAAATAAATAAATGTTGAAATAGTCTTTTTTTTTTTTTTTCCTCCCCCAGCGGTAGCAGAAGTGAAACTTCGAGATGATCAATATACCCTTGACCACATGCGTGCTTTTGGCATGTATAATTATCTTCACCTTGATTCCTGGTACCAGGATAATGTCTACTATGTTGATCAGTTTGGAAGGGTTATGAATCTGTCAGTGACTCTGGTAAGAATCAACTTTTTAAAAAAATTACTGAATTTGAAAAGATGGGGGGTAGATAAGGTAGAAAATATGGCAACTAGGATCCAAATGCAAAAACTGGGGGAAGCTCTTGCCAGCAAGACAGGTAGATTAACAAAAATGCAGTTCACCAGGAAGGATGAAAGGATTTTAAGTGAGGTTTCTGACATCTTTTTGTTAGTAGTATTGCATTAGTATCGCAATAGTGTTGCATCTGCTTCCATTCTGGGGAAGACAGACATGGTGATAAGCTGAAGAAAAGAGTAGATGCTTCTTTTGTAGTTGCTGGCTTTTTCTCCCTATGTTACTTAATGTTTGTCTGTTTGCTAATTTGAAAATTTGATTGCAGATATAAGAAGAGAAGGAAGCTGTACGCATTAGAAATGCAAGCCTTTATGGACTAATAGCTTAATCTGGGCATCACTTGTTGAGGGCAAAAAGATTCTGGTGGCCCTGGGCAAACTTGAAATAAAGTGTAAGCAAGCTAGGCCAAGTCTGAAAAACATGACAGTTCTCTGCTTTTATACTCATGTTCTTAAGGAGTCAAATTTTCTGTTTCTTTTGAGCCATTTTAATGCACGGATGTGCTAGTTTCCATTACAAAGCTCTTCATTCTGGAGGGGAAAGGACATGGCTCTGTGGACACTGTGTTTCTGGTACATGCTTGGTCATTAAGGAGTAAAAGACTTGTGTGGAAAGGAAAATATCCATTGTCGTGCTACCCAGGAATTTGACTTGTAAGCCTGTGGAACAAAAGAAAACACAGGGTGATGTCTGATTTTTTTTTTTTTTTGAGAGAGCGTGGCTTACTCGGTGCAAGGTTCTGGGAGTGGAAATTACTAGGCTAGGGCTAAGCTGAGAAAAATCCTGAAATGGTAGTTCTGTTTTTTTCAGGAAATACAGGTTTCCAGAGGATGGTAAGCTGAGAACTGAAGCTGCAAAATAGTTGCTTTACTTTTCATAGAACGTAGAAGCAGTTGAAGCCTTTGGTAGACTCTTGCTGAGACAGAAGAATCTTCTGGGACTTCTTCCAAATCTTTTGAGATCATCTGGATTCCCAGTAGGAACATCTAAAAGAAAGAAGCTTGTCAGGGAAAGCCTTCTGTGAATGGTGGCTTGTCAGAGTCTCATTTTTTGTGGTTTTTATCTTGTGGTTGGTTAACCTTGGCTGGCTACCAGATGCCCACCCAGATGCTCTCTTATTCCCCCTCTTCAGATAAAAAACAGGAAGATCACTTACAATTACCATCACAGGCAAAACAGACTCAACTTTGGGGAAGTTAATTTAATTCATTGCCAATTAAAACTAGAGTAGGATGACGAGAAACAAAGTCACACAAAGCTCCTACCAGGAGCTTGCTCCGGCATGGGTTTTCCATGTGCTGCAGCATGGATATCTGCCCCACTGTGGTCCTCCATGGGCTGCAGGGGGACAACCTGCTTCCCCATGATGTTCTCCAAGGGCTGCAGGTGAACCTCTGCTCCACGCCACCATCTTGGCCGACAGGCTCCGCTGTGCCCTGTGGTGAGCCTGTTGGAGCCAGCTGGAACCGGCTGTGTGCGGCACAGGGCAGCCCCGGCCTCTCCTCACAGAGGCCGCCCCTGCAGATCCCCACTGCCAGCACAACGCAGACACCCAATACATGCCTTTATTAGGAGGGCACTAAAGTGTGTAAATTTCTTTCTTTGCAGATAAACTAGATAAAGAATTTCACAACAGGCAGGAATTTGCATTTTTATGTGCAGTAAATTGAGATAATAAATATTCTTCCCTAGGACCGGTGGGTCCGTTGGAATCTTCAAGAAAATGGCACTTGGTTAATATCTTGTCACGAGTTGCGGTTCCACTGGGCTGTGAAATAAATAGCTGCCATCTTGTGTCCTAATACACAATGAAGTGCTGTTTCGCAAAGGAAACATGTTTGCATATGTATAAAAAGGAATGTGTATTCAGAAACATCAACAAGGTGTCTCATTACAAATGTGCCTGGCCATATATTAGTCAAATGCATATTACAAATAATATTGTTTTCAGCCAAGTATAGCTTACAAGTTAACAAAGGCCACAATTAAAATTAATGTCAGTCTTCTTTAAAACAGAAGATGGAACAGGTTCACATGCTTATCCTAAATCCAAAGTGAAAGAACACATAGGCTTTTTAACACATAATTATTTCTAGTTCTGCTTCTTATTTCAGTTGCAACTTCGATTCTAATATGGCGGTGTGTTAGTTCTCCATAAATCATGAATTATCCCTGCAACTTAGGTGTTTAAAAAGATGTCATCTGTGAAGGCAAAAAGTATAGATAATACCTTGCCACTTGCTCAAAATCAAACTTAATTGAAAAAGAAAAGTGGTCAACATGAACAGTTTATCTAAGTTGATGGATGAGTGTTCAGGTGGTTTTTTTTATACCAGGTTGAGAAAGTTGTTACCCTAACTTGACTGGAAATACTATATAAAAGCTTTAACATTCTTCTGTTACAGCTATTGGACTTCTTTCATTCAAAAAGCCAGCATCAGTACTTTGTTTTAAAGACCCAATGGGTAGTGTAGTGACAGGATTACCAAGTTGTGTTTTTTGTATTTTTGTGGAGTTTTTTGCATCTGACTTGATTTTTTTAATTGTTTGATGTTTGTAATGCTGGAATATAGCTGAAAAATATTCAAAGTTTTCTCTTCCAGCAGTTAAATAATTGGACTTGATTTCTTGACCTTCAGCTCTTCTTGCAAAGACAACTTTGTTGCTTTTTATATTCAAATAATGGAATTGAGAAACTGTGGCACCAGTAACTCTTCTCACACGTAATTAAACCCCTTAATGGTATCTATATTTTCATCTTTCTAAATTGCAGTAAGAATTAGCTGTGGAATGCTGTTTCTGTAACTTTCAGTTAACTTCAATTCAGAACAACTGTTAGCAGCACCAGAAACAATGTGGGAATTCTGTTTGAAATAAGTCAGAATAAGGAAGCAGATAAAGTGAAGAACATCAAAATCTTTTAGACTTCTGTATCAGCGTTTTAAATACTTGGCTCTGTTATTCAGAATGCTGGATGTGGACATTTTTGCTCAGTTAGAGAGATGTGTCAAATGCCTAGGTATTTTGATTTTCCATAAAAACAAAGTTAAGTATTTGTTATGGCTACTTTGTGGAAATTGCCATATAACTTATAGCTTTTATTTTTTCCTTTTTCTTTTGGAATGTTTTGTCTTTTCTCATTCCCTGTCTTTTCCTTGGAAAATTCATTCTTTTAAATCTCATGAAATATTGCTTGTTTGTACAGTATGATAAACTGTGACTTTGGAACAATAGCATTTCTTAATGCAACTTAAAAAATTTAAATCTTACAGGCCTGCCAAAGAACCTGAGTAAAATTTTACTACTTAACTATATAAGTGAAGACACACTTAAATGGAGCCTGGTGTCTGGGAGTCAGGAACAGTAGAGGGAATTTTTAAGCTTGCATTTTACGTTTTGTCTCTTGTACCTGCACACTGGCTCCTTATCCTGAGCAACTAGAGCACACCCTGGCTTGGTCTGCCTGACTTTGCCTGTGGAGGAACAGTTTGCTCAGAATTTCTACACAAATTTGAAACCTAGGCTGCTTAGAAGGCTCAAAATCAGGGTTAGTGTCATAGGCAGGTGAGGCAGAGGAGCTGCTGAAAGGAAAGGGGTTGTAATGGTGAAGGCACCCAGATGAAATCTGGAATAGATGAAGAGACTGAGAGAGGCCAAAAGGAAGCAGAATATGCTGTCAAGAAGTAGAGGAGTGGGCAGAGCTAGAATTAAAGGCTAGTAGAAAAGAGAGAGACTTGGCAGTGAAAAATAGTAAAACAAAGAAACTTTGTAGAGAAGTGAAGGGAGATGAACAAATGGGTCTGATGAGAAGCTGCATCTAGTTTTTTCTTAAAGAAACTGTGTTGCTGCCATTTAAACCTAATCGCAGTGAGTAAACCTGACTTCTGTTAAAATGACTATAGCTGTTTTAGCTAGTTCTTGCTAGTATAATATATGACTATAGTATCTCAGCATCCCCTCATAACTTCTGAAGTAGGGAGTTGCTATTAGCCCCTGTTAACCAGCTGGTGAATGGAGAAACAGTAAGTCAAAAAGCAGATCTGACACAGGAGGTTTTTGAGGGCAGGTTTTGTTTCAGCTTCAAGTAAGTCCATCCTTTTCATGGTTGGAATGAGATTAGAGACTGTTCCAATAAATGCCTAAAGTTAAATTAGTGAACAGAAAAGTTGTGAATAAGAGTGCTTCCTTTCTTGCCTATTGAGAGGGAGGCTCTGTAATATGTAATGAAGATTATTTTTCACTTTTTTTCAGGAGATACATTGAGTCTTGACGTTCCTGTTCCGTGCTGATAAGTCTGATGTGAGCTTTAGAAGATTAAATCGTTGATAATTATTTTTTTTTAAATTGCATCTGAAAATATTTGAAGCTTATTGTTAAGATTCACTTGAAGGCTGACAGAAGTGTGGTCTTCTGTAATATTACATAGTATAGCTCCATAAATCACTGTTAACAGGGATGATGATGCTTCTTTCCATTATATGATGCATGGGATTTTGATTTTTTTTTTTTCCTAGGCAAAGTTGTCATTGCTAGTTAAAATGGAATGCTTTTATTGTAGAAAACACTGACTCTCAGTGAAACCTTAAAATAAAGATGGGGAAGCCCAAATTTGTTGTATCTAGTGTTTGTGGGATTTTTGTTTTGTTTGGGTTGTGGGTTTGGTTTGGTTTGTTGTTGTTTGTTTTTTTTAATTCTTTCATTCTCCCCTCCTGAATGTGTTATAAATTAGTGGAATAGTTCAAGGGGCATAGTGATGCAACTGAATCTACAAAGTGACCCTGAATGCTTCCAATAATTAAAAATCAAATTTGCATATTTTCCATTGCATGTTTCATAATAGCCCTTGTGACTTTTTTTTGTAGTACACAGTAATCTCTAATATGAATTCAAGTAGGCAAGCAGCCTATCTGTTTGTCATCTGGTCTTTTTTGCTGTTGCTTATTAAAATGGTACTTACCCAAATCCAATTTCTCTTGCTTACCTTTGAACATGTTTTAAATGCACATCTGATGTTAATAACATCTGGAAAATACAAAGGATTTGAAATCCCCTCAAATACAGGATTCTCAACAAGTGAGGCCACGGCATACTTTGCATGCACAAATGTGCTCTTTTTATATTGCATACACATGCACAAGTGCAAAGAACTCTTTAAAAGATGGTGCTTTGTATGTATATTTTTGACTGCCTTATTTCATAGAGCAGAATGAGTGTCTTTTACTAGAAGTATATACGTGTATAGATGATTCCCCTCCACCCCCAAGCTATCCATTGCTTGAGTGAAAATAGAGTGACTGGAGATGCTTAGAAAATATTATAATTTGTGGCTGAAATTTCAGGGCCTGTAATGAGATGCTGGTTTAATCTGATACTTTTTCACTGCTATTTCTTAATACTATATCCACCCTTACTATAGTAAGAGAGTGCATTTTGTGTGGCACAGAATAACTACTTGTTTTCTCTCACTCCCCAGGTTTTCAATACAAAAATATGCTTCTGTTTGTGCTTCCTTTTACATACTCATAAATATCTTCACAACTGTTCCTGTAATGGTTTTTTTTTTCAAATTGTTTTTCTGTTTTTAAAATTATATTTCTACTTAAATATATTTTCATTTTAGTGACACTAATGCTGATTTCTAGTAACAAAGGAAGAATTTCTTTATTGTTAAGCAGAGTTTTCTGATTTGTGGAGCTTCTAAAATAATTGTAGATCAACTGACTGGAAATGAGCTTAGTGACATAAAACAAAATAGTTAATTGGCTCTATGACCATTAGTTATGTTCTCATCACAGTCTATTTGTTGTAGGATTAAGAAGATAGATTGGGTTTAAAAAGGGAAATGTTGATCTGTAAAGGCCAATCAGGCACCTTTTTTTCCAGAGATGACTAGTTAATTTGTTCAAATATATGTAGGTACACTAGTCTGCAAAATATCTTTGAAACCTGTTGTATCTAATTTTGTTTCATTTATGTTTTTTATATATATATTTTTATATATATAAAACTGTCTGTGAGATGAGGGGAAAGGACCATAACTTTGAGAGGTGTTGCTTTAAGATACAGAACAGGAACAACAGGAATTGGTTTTGCTTGTTATCACTGGAAGACCTTTTTGGAGACCTCAGATCAGATCCTGAAGTCTGTGAATCAGTATAAGGGGCAAGGTGGTAAATATTTTTTCTTTTTTTTAGGTTTATATCATTAGAATCCACTGTTTGTTTTAGAATCATAGAACAGCCCAGGTTGGAAGGGACCTCAGAAGTTCATATGGTCCAACCTTTCATGGGAAAAGGAGCCTAGATGAGATTATCTAGCACCTTGTCCGGTTGCATCTTGAAAATCTCCAGTGATGGGGGCTCTGCCATGTCCCTGGGGAGGTTGTTCCAGTCATTGATTGTTCTCACTGTAAAAAAATTCTCTTATGTTGAGATGAAACCTCTTCTCCTGGTGCAACTTTTACCCATTGCCCCTTGTCTTTATGTGACTTCTTGCGAAGACCAAAGCCTCCATCCTCTTTGCAGCTGCCCTTTAAGTACTGGAATACTGTGATGAGGTCCCCCCGGAGCCTTCTCCAGGAAGACAAGACCTAACTCCTTCAGTCTTCCCCCATAGGCCATGTTCTCCAGCCCTGTGATCGTCTTCACGTCCTTCCTTTGGACCCTTTCCAGTCTGCCCATGTCTTCTTTTCAGTTCTGGGGACCAGAACTGGACACAGTACTCCAGATGTGGCCTGACAAGCGCTGAGTAGAGTGGGATGATCACATCTCTATCTCTGCTAGTAATGTTCCTGCAGATGCAGCCCAGGATCTGATTTGCCTTTGTTGCTGCAGCATCGCACAGCTGACTCATGTTCAGCTTGCTGTCCACCAGGACCCAGGTCCCTTTCAGCAAGGCTGCTCTGCAGCCACACAGATCCTAGCCTGTACTGGGCTCCTTGGGTATTCCTTCCCAAGTGCAGGACCTTGCACTTGTCTGTTTATCTTCACAATGTTCTTGCTGCCCCACTTTTCCAGGCTATCTGGGTCTCTGTGCAAGATGGCTCTCCCTTATGACATGTCTACTTCATCACCTAGTTTAGTGTCATCAGCAAATGTGAGGGTGCTTTCAATCTCATCATCCAGGTAATTTATGATGATGTTGAACAATGTGGGCCTGGTATCAATCCCTGGGGGACTCCACTGGTCACAGACTGTCAGCCTGTTTTATTTAGCAGCTACTTAGTTCAGTTGAAAAACTTGAAGCAATTAAGTTCTATTTCTAGAGATGTGACTGTGATGTTGCTGAATCTCCAGTCTGCATCTTATATTTTTCTGTAAGAATATTTTGTTTGTGCTTTTAATACTGCAGCCTGATCTCCTTAGCAAGTAGCTGATTGAGCTGTATTGCTGATAAAGCATGGCTTTTTTTGTTGCTGATAAAGACTTTTTTTTAAACTGTGATGCCAAGTTCTTTTCAAACCATAAAGATCTGGTCAGGTTTTTTTTTTCTGTCAAGCCTCTTGGATAGTCAGAGATTACTTCAACTCACAAAAAAGGAGGTAAATCATAGTCCTAAGCAGGCAGCGGCGTTGCTGGCATTTTGCAAGCCAAATAATGAGCAGAGAGTTACAAAGCCTTATTCAGCAAAGAAAGGGCTGCATGTGAGAGTGAATGCACAAGATAAAGAATAATCCCTAAAAGATACCCTGGAAGACATGCCTTTGTACCTAATGACAACAGGTGGAAGTCCAAATAACAGCATAAAAGCAGTTTCTTCTGTTAGAATTAGCAGGAAATGAAGAAGGCAACACAGAACTAAAGCAGGACTTCTGAGAACAATTACTAGAAATATAGATGAAATTGGTAATCTAACATTCATTTTGCACTATTATCCAATACAGCAGGAAATATTGGATTTTTTTTTTAATTTAGTGATATGTATTGTTTTTTAAAATCCCGTATGTCTTCATTGTTCACTGGAGAATTATATCATCTGTGCACTTTGTTCACTACAGTGTCTCTGTTTATTCATGCTCAAAAACTATCCATGCTTGTAGTTTGGCTTAAAAAATAAGATTGCAGTGTGCCACTGATACAGTATGCTAAATAAGTTTTTCCTGATGTGTAGTATAATCATAATGTGATGGAAAAGTTATTTCCAAATATGATATGAATTAGTACAGCTTTTCTTTGCTAGCTAATCACAGTTGTTACTTCTCTAACTTACTGAATAAAATAACCACTCTAGGAAAGCTGAGAAATGATAGATCAGCTTGAATATGCAGTTGTGTAAGAGAATAGGCTAAAATTATTTAAAATAAATAATTAAAAAAATAAAATAAAAAATAAATAATTTAGAAGTGAGTTTTTATCAACTAGTTTGAGTACAATTCTGCGGCTTTCATTTCTTTTAAAGCCTCCACATTTTTATTGGCACTAGAATTATTTGAGGTAAGTGATTATTTGGAAATGCTAGAGGAAAAGAAGTGAAAAGCCTTTTTTTAATGAAAAATGTAATTAGTGCTGTAAAATGGAAGGAAAAAAATGAGTGCTGAAATATCAATTATAGAAGACTTATGTTTTCGGTAAATAGAAACCAATTCAATGATTAAATTCCACTACCTTTTTCACATATGAGGGAATGATGCTTGCTACCCACTTTTTTCCAAATATGATCAACTGTACAGAGAAACTGGTGAATTGCTACTGAGATTTGTTATTCTTGTCTGTAATACTTTATGAAGTATTTATCAATTTCAGTAAGTCTTAGTATGTGACTGTTTGCTTATAGGATACTGCTCTACAAAAGCCAAGAGAAGTTTTCAGGCTACCTACAGACTTGACAGCTTATGATAATCGCCTTTGTGCCTCAGTACACTTCTCATCTTCTACATGGGTTACCCTTTCTGATGGTACAGGAAGACTGTATTTAATTAAATCAGGCAAGCGTGGAAACAGTGCATCTGAAAAATGGGAGGTAAGTCTTGCAATAATTTAAGAATTGTACATCTACCAAATAATTCTTATTTTTGCATTTCTTATGAGAATTGCATGTATGTAATGTTGTGAAGAATTAAGCTTTAAATCATAACTGTATCACTGATACAGGATTGTGTTCAAGTATAAAAATCATTGAGTTTAATACTAATGACTAAATTAATGATTTCTTTATGCACAAAATATCTAAAATTCCAGTGTTTGAAAGGGAACAGCCTTTTGACTGAAGAAGAATCTGAAGTGTTTCTAAATAGGTGGTTAAGTGCTTGTCTAGCTGAACTTTTTTGAAAAAAAAAACATTTCCCCTTTCCCTTCCCTATTCATATGTCTGTCTAGGATTTCCCCCCCCCCCCATCTTTTATTGTTTGCTATTTCAACTGGCCTGTGGAATAATATATATATATTTTTTACAAAGTCTGAAATTATTGTCAACCAAGCTAAAAGCTACTTTCATTTTGAAGTTAAGAGATTACTGGTTTGTCTAATGTTTATTTGTGTGGATGTAATTGTGCTTGAAATATTCACCATTTAATTTGCCTCATCCTATGTAATACATCCACAGAGACTAGAATAAAGCTTAACCAAAACTGCTGATTAAAAAATTTTTATAAGCAACCCTGAGGGTTAACTGCAGAGCAGGTATAATGTAAGCAATAATATTTCCATCTCTCTAGTAGGGAAAATCTTCATACTGTGCACTTGGCTCTGGAAAATTATTGGTGCTTCATATTTTTACTTAAAATTGTTGGTTGTAACTGAAGTATGTTTTTATGTTTCTCATGATTAAATTCTTTACATAATTAATTCTTTTAAAGAGTCTCAATAAGGAGCATTTTTTTATCCACATCGAAGTGATCTTAGTACACTAATAATGGTATTTGTTATCCTGCTTGAACACAACAAATATAACTTAAGTTACATTTCTACCTGAGCTATGATGAGTCTCATGGTCTGTGGTTAGTTTCTCTTTACTCATGAAAGACGAGTCTGGTATGAAGCGCACACATTTTGCATCTGTTTTCTTTATTAGAGGGCAGTTTCCTAAGCAATTAAGGAGGGTTTAGTATTGGCAGAAACTCAGGTATATGTTCTGAAGTGGAAGATTTCAGCATGATGGATTAGCTCCTTCCCCTACATCTTTTGAGAGTTCAGTAGCTAGGAAATTGGCCATCCTGTTCTTTAGATGGTTGGTAATAAATACCAACTGGTTTTTATTCTGTTCTGTGTGAGAATGCTGATACGTAAATAAGTTACATTGGAGTTGTCAGTGTAACAAAACTGTGAGATTTATATGCTGACGTTCTGTCCATTTAAATTCACATTTTGAGTATTTAGAGCACCCAGTGATTTACAGTGGTGTTAACATCCTAACCCTATAAATCCTCAGACCTTACCAGGTTTCAGTAACAGCTGGATTGAGCCTATACTCATTCAGCCACTGCAGCTTGAATTCCTTGTCATTTATTCTTTTGTTTTCATTGTTAATGTTCTAGCAAATAACAAATGTTTCATTTCTTCTTCTTCTTCTTCTTCTCTGCTGTTTGGATTTTTATTGTTTTTTAATCTTTTTGCGGGTTTTGCTGAATGAGTACTTTTTTGAGAAAAGATGAAATACATAGTCTCTAGAATTAAAACTTCCAGCTATAGGTACCAAATGCTAAATGTCTTGAGCTACAAGATGTACAGTCCTTCTGTATGAAATTATTCCACATTTACAGTGGTGCTTATTAGCCTTTCAATGACAGTAATATTTATGTACTCTGCCTACCTAGTCCCATCCAAATCTTGGATAGACTTTTCCAAACAGTATGCATAAAAATACAAAAACTTCTAATCGTAGCTCCTCCTAAACATGAATATTATACTCCTTCATTTAATTATAGGCTTTTGTTTCTTACTTCCCTTCATAAAACTTTATAGAGAAGGAAAATTGAATCTCTTTGTAAAGATAGCAGCAAATAAAGAGAACCCCCCCTCCCCTCGGTACTGGTTGATGATTAAATACTGGCAGCAATGCACTGGACCTCCTAATCTTCTTGTTTGCACATGTCAAGGTCTATAAAAATTTTCAGGATGTTGGGGTGTCTAGAGAAGTAGTGAGGGCCTTGGTGAAATGCCTACATTTTTGTCTTGAGTTAGTACGCTGTTTTTATGGATCCTGTTCTGTTCATCAGTTGTTGTACCTCTGCTTATTGTAGTAGTAAACAGCCATAATGCAGATGATTTTGTGGATATTTGTGCTTTGTTTAATGGGCCCTTACAATGATTTTATAATATAAACAATAATTAAAAGCATTTCAGAACAGTGGCTTGATAGCCAAGAAGGGAGGAACCAAAAATGTATGATGTTTGTGTATTCATATTGGCAGAGAGGTTTGTGGGAAGCAAACTTTTACTGATTTGACATTCACTGAAGACTTTCACTGCTTTCTGAGAAAGAGCAAGACTTACAGTTTTAACTGACTTTTTACTACATTTTTTTCTAGATTGTTTTTAATGAAGAGCTAGGAAGTCCATTTATTATAGCACACAGTGTTTCATTTGTAAAATCTGATAAGCATTCAGTAGCTGTGCTGCTGCTTAGGGTAGAAAAAGATGAATTGGACACAAAAGGAAGTGGATTTCATATTACCTTGGAATGGGTTACAATTGCAGAGATAAGCAAAGAGGGTAAGTGTTTTACATTTATATTACTGGTGAGTAATGTTTAAAAAAAAAAAAATCATGCTTTTATTCCTTGTCTTGGAAGTTGATTGTTCCTCAGGTTCTGATATTTCCTTTCCTCAAAAGTTCTGCTTGGATTTTACATAGGTAATTTATTCTTACATTTTGAGATCAAGTTACTGGTTGTAGACTTAAAATCTGATGAACGTTTGGAAGACAGGAAGAAGTAAAATTTTATATGTGTGTGGTTAAGGTAATTAGTAAACAAGATAGAACTTGACTTTGTGATGTTATGAAAGACAAGATCAAGCTAAACAGGAATTGCAAAATCAAGGTTATACAGAACTATGTCTAACTGATGTCTTTTATACTTTTCAAAATGTTGTACAGCTAGATATGGGGTTTTGTTTGGTTATGTTTTGGGGTTTTTGTTGTTTTTTTAGCCTCCAATTGACAGTGTTGTGGGATTGGAATTAGTATGAGATAAAAAGAAGAACTGTAGCATGAAAAGTAAATACTTCATATTCTAGATTTTCCTGCAGTAAAAGAGTATGAGGTTATTCAGTTAATTTTAGATCAACACATTAAAAACATACTAGTTAGTGTATTAATACCTACTAATTAATGTATTATCCTAATAAAGTTTGGCAAAGGGTAATTTACTGTTCAATATGACCATACTTACATTAAATATCATGATTTCCATAAAGCATACAAGACCCCATGCTTCAGTGTCTGATTTAAATATGTGTGGATTAAATTACATTAACCTTTTTGGGAAGACTGTGATACTGTCTCATTCATTATCTTCCAAAAAGTATAATTTTGATACCGGTAGAATCTTTAGCTACTTGAACTAAAGCAGTTGATTGCATACTGCAGTGTTACTATCTAAATGTTCCTCAATCTCCTACATATATAGTATGTATAGGAGAAAAGAGTAGAATAGACTATTTCAGTTGGAAGGGACCTATAACGATCATCTAGTCCAACTGCCTGACCACTTCAGGGCTGACCAAAGGTTAAAGCATGTTATTAAGGGGATTGTCCAACTGCCTCTTAAACACTGACAGGCTTGGGGCATCAGCCACCTCTTCAGGAAGCCTGTCCCAGTGTTTGACCACCCTCTTGGTAAAGAAATACTTCCTAATGTCCAGTCTAAACCTCCCCTGGTGCAGCTTTGAACCACTGTTGCATGTCTCATCGCTGGATACCAGGGAGAAGAGATCAGCACCTCCCTCTCCACTTCTCCTCAGGAAGCTGTAGAGAGCAATGAGGTTGTGCCTCAGCCTCCTTTTCTCCAAACTAGACAAACCCAAATTCCTTAGCCTCCCCTCACAAGACATTCCTTCCAGCCCTTTCACCAGCTTTGTTACCCTGAGTGGCTTTATTCATGTTGTCTGCTCTTGAAACCTTGGGTGATGGAAATATTTCTGAGAGTGCCAGAAAGCCATGTGAGATTGCCTTATGCTTTTGTGGACCAGCTCAACAAGAGAAAGAAACCTCTGAACATTACTGGTTATATCTTGGAAGAAGAATTAAATCAGTAATACTGCCAGTCTGGAACTGAAGACCATTGCTTAAAGAAAGCACTAACACAAACTTTTATTATATTTTGTAATACTGTATATTTTTGTAAAGAAGTTCTTTATAGTGTATTTTTTATAACTTATGACAAATGTTCTTGGAATGAGTCTTTTTCCATAAAAGTAGATTTAAAAATCTTTCCAAAAATCTTGCCAGTTCTCCAGCATTTCCAAGGAACAGACAAAATTTTTGTAATTACAGTCAGCAGAGATGTAAATAACAAGATTCAAAGCAAACTTTAATTATGAAAAGAGAAATAAGTTTTTGATTTCTTTAAATATCCCGCAAATCAGACTGATGCATGAACCAATCTCAAAGATAAAAGCTGTTTTGAGGAATTAACAATACTTTACATTCTCTTTCATCAGTAGGCAATTGCTATGCTTAACTCTTCTTGAAACTCTGCCTGTGGGTGCAGTTTATCAAATCAGATTGTAGTAAAAATAAGTAGTTAATTAACAAGCCATTTCTCAAATTACCAAATCTATCCTTCATCAAAGCAAAACCTTAAGACATAGTTATGTGTCTTGACACCAACAACTGTGAGAGTCTCTGCCGTGCCTGGTTGGCTAGACAAAGTGATCACACCTACCACTATTGTATTACCAAAGAACAAAAAATGGAAGCATGAAAATAAATCTGAATGGAAGCAGTGGTGAGATCTGTTCACATCTCGTGTGGTACTTCAGAGGGTTGTGACAAAGGTGTACCCCCTCAAAGTTTGTTGTTTTCCTTAATTAGCTAATGTTTTAGGAATCCTCACTGTAAAAGCTTGAAATGAAGAACCACCATGCTGCTTTATTAGACTTGGAAAATGTTACATGCTTTCTTCTGACCTTCTTTACAAGAAAAATCATGTAGTATAAACTTACCAAAAAGATTATAAAGACTTACTAAAAAATTTTAGAAGTGTTGTAGAGTATTTTCAATCAATCATCAAAATGTTTGGTCACACAATGACAAGGTTTGAGGTTGTAGAGCCTTCTAACAAGTGAGCAAATGTTGTAAGAGAGACATGCTAACAAATTTGGTATATTTCAGTGCACAGTTAAATTTGATTAGTTAAATAACAGCTTGTTCAATGAGTGGCTAACTTCCCAGTACAACAAAGACTTGCTCTTTTTGGTCACGTATTTAAGCAGAGGTAATTTGTTAGTCCTTTAAAGCAGGTTACCCTGTTGCTTGGAGTCTCCTGATTGAATAGGTCTCTTACTCTGTCTCTAATTAGAATAGTTGCATCTCTTCAGTTAATGCCCTGCCCAAACTTTTCAGGAAAAAGAGGGGGGCTTTAATTAACACCACTAAGTACCAGAATTACATTATAGTCTGATTATTACTCTTTATTCCACTTCTTGCTTAGCAAACAGGATAACCAATTGAGAAGACTGAAATTACACTTGGTTTATCCATTATTATCTGTATTCTCCTATGACTTCAGCATTTCTCTAAGCTTGACATTGAGGTCAAACAGGAACACATTTTGGAATACTAGAGTGGCACAGATGATTTTTACCATCATAATCTGGTCTTGTCTAATGTCTCTGCTAATGAGTTCCCAGTTTCTTTCAAGTAATGTTGTAGTTACAAGTACAGTGATTTCTTATAATGAAGAGATGAAGCATAAATGTGAAGAACTATAGAATTTCTGGGGATAATTTTATCACCTGTGAGCATTTTATCAAGTTGTTAATTTTTTTGCTAAAAATCCATTTGTATAATCTGTTATTATTCACAAGTTGATCAGTTCCTGAGGACTCTGTGGGCAGTAAGATTCTAGTGGAAAAAGAACAAACATTGTGCTAGAACCTGTCATCTTACTGGTGTTTTGAGTCATCAGTACTCATGTGTTTGGGAGCACAGTAGGGAATGGCATGGTCCTTGATGCCAGTAGCTAACATCTGGGACCTCCTTTTTAAAGGGCAGTGTTTTACAAAAGTTGAGGAAGATGGACATTTTCCATTATGAATAAAGTGTTACCACTCACTATTTCATTGCTTCTCAAGTTTTTAGACCAGCTCAAAAAGTATCTGGAAAACTTGTTTGTACAGAGGCTGTGAGTGGTTTTGTGAATTGCTGGGCTAGCTGTGATCAATAAAGGCATCATAAGAAAAAAAGGGCAATGTTAGATTAATTTTAGGGTCTACATATGTAACAAATGCATTGAAAAACAGAAGAGATTTCTTTTTAAACTATGGTACTGTGATTTAACTGGTAGGATTGCTTAGTATTTTTAACTGTAATGAGATTCTCATATAATAATTTGTCTTCTAGAAAAATATTACCACTAATGTTTTATTTTAATTTTATAGGAGATCATAGATATGACATCTTTAAAAGGAGAGTTTTACAAGGAAAATCAGTCCCCCATTATGCAGCAATAGAGCCGAGTGGGGATGGCCTAATGATTGTTTCCTACAAACCATTCAAATTTATGCAAGATGAAGATGATAAATTAGAAGAAAATGATGATGCAAAAGCAACAAATGAAAAGAAAGGTAAAACTTATCTGGCAGATTATGATAGGCTGCTCTCTTTTGGCTTAGAAAATAGCTTGTCAGTTTACCATCTGTTTGGAAACTCTAGCAATAAATGTTTGTCTTAATATCTATCTTCCAGATTTTTTTTTTTTTTTTTTTAAGGACAAATTGGCTTTGTTTTGTTTGCTTTCACCCTGGGAAGTTGTGTTGTGCATAAACCTATATGAGAAGCTTTTTTTGGATAGGAGACACTTAAAGAGTTTTGTTGTCCTAAGGAAAAGGATATTGATATTTTGCAAACAGAACTGTACTAAGTATATGCTAGCAGGTAACGCCTAAATTTAGGCATCTGGCTAAAGTACTTAAATTAAGAAGCTAGTCTTCCTAGATGAGAGAGGGCGGTGTGGCACCCATTCACTCCCCCAAATAGTTGTTCATCAGAAAGCTTTCTGATATGTAATTTACTCCTGCCTTTCTAAATTTTAAACCAACCAAACAAAAAAACCCCCCAAACCTACCACAACAACAACAACAAAACCCCCCACCAACACCCTCCCCCCCCTCCCCAAAAGCCCAACCAGTTTTTCTTTTTAAAGAATGAGAATCCTGTAAAGGATTATCTTTTCTCCAGTGGGAAGGCAGTTCAGAAAAAATAATAAGCTTCAACAAAAGGCATCCATACTTTTTTCTTTAAGATCAAAGCGAAATTAAGTATGTAAAAAACTGTTAATTAATTTTTATCTTAAATATCACTGAACTCTGTAATATGTATGTTTATGTAGTTATATTGTATTATTTCAGATTTGATTTTTGCTTCTGAATATAAGGCATTGCTTAATGAACCAGTCCTAACTGAATGATACTAACACAATCTTTGTCAATGGTGCAAAAATCTGTGTGGGAAACAATACAAAAAGATCAATTTTCTGGAATGTATTAATGTTACACACTGTGATAACTGTGGAGTTGTACATGTAATTGTATTAAGAATAGTCTGTATGTATAAGTCTTGAGGCAAAGGAGCACTTTAGTGCACTGAGCACCACAATGCAGTGTCTATGAAGTTGTCACCTGAATTAGCTAGTTCAATGTTTTAAGGATTTTAAGAGCTTCTTGAGTTTTGTGCTAGGTGTGATTAAAGAAACACAGTAAAGAGCACTATATGGTTCTCAGCATAGCTCATTTCATGTGTGTATGTGTGCGTATGGTGTTGCCAAAGCCCAGCAATCTGTAATGTGTGGAGTACTGTTTGTAACAACACCAACTTCTCATGGCACAAAAATCTAATGGTAAAGAAAGTACTGAACCTGGACTCCTAGTTTGAAGGGAAGTCTAATACCTCTTTAAAAAGAGAATTTGTCTTTTGCTAAACCTAATGTAGGCTGTAATTTTAGTTGCATGGTTCTGTAAAATTGCAGCATAATAGATATCAGATAATGAAACAAGATGTGCTGGCAATAGAACTCTAATTTTTATAGGAGTTTGCAGCAATAGATAAAGAAATATTAAGGCAGTTGTTGCACGTTGGTATTTTGGTTTTTAATTTGTTCTCTCATAGTCTCCTCTGCACATTTTTGACATTGAGAAGGCTGTCTTGAAGATGGGGGAGAGGGGAAGTCTAAGCTACTTTTTTGGTGTCATTCAGTTTTCTTATAAATGAAGACTTAATATCAGATACAATCTGTGTCAAGTTTAGAATTTTGAAGGCTGTCGTATCTCAGATACTAATAGTTTCTGGGAAGTATATTTGTAGCACCTGTGACTGATCCATTGCAAACAGGAAACTCGTGGTAACGGACAACACTGTCCTTCCAGAATCACAGTTGCTGACGTGAAGCTTAGATCACTGAAATCTTGTACTGTGTTGTGACAACTTGAGAGCTTCCAAAGGGTCTGTCCATACTTTTCCTCTAAATAGGAAGGTAACATGTATGAGATCGCTCTTCAGAAAATCAATGCATCTGTATTTGTGTTTTCTGTGAACAACTGTGAACTACCCAGTCATGCTGTCATAGCATTCCTTTTGTATAAACATTTCTCTTAAAAGGCCACTTCTTGTAGCAGTTTAATAATCAACATAGACATCAAGCAGATTCTATACCCAGGAGTAAAAGTCAATCATTACCTCTGGGCAGGCAGTTTTATTTCATCTCCATCAGCTGAGGCAGATGAAGACTACCTGGTCTTCTAAAATCATTTCTGTTGAATGGTCAGCATAGCTTCTGGCAAAATAGGTAAGAAAAAAATGTTCACATCTCTGAATGGTGTATACTTCTGAGCAGTCTGTAGCTTGTCAGTACCACTGCACCTGATGTCTCTTCAACCAAATTATTAAACATTAATGTTTCAGTGTATTTAAGTACATCTTGTTTATCAATTTTGTAATGCTACAATAAACTCAGAGTAATAGTTAATGGCCATTGTATAATTCTATCAGTATATTTGAGTATAGATATGAATATAAATTGCTCTTCAGATGAGGGACATAAATGAACTTGATTGCTAAAAAATGTTTCTCTATTTTATAATCTGAATATATTTTATGTAAATTATTCAGAATAAAAGTAAATTTCCACTCTTCCACAAACTTCTATTCCATATCTTCCAGCATTGTGTGCTGTGGAATCCAGGACAGCATTTGTAATCTAGTTTGTATTTTTCTGCATGTTTCCAATTGTAGACCCACTCTATTACTGGCAGCAGACTGAAGATGATGTGACAATAACAGTTCGCATTCCTCAAGACATCACTAAGGATGACATAAAAGTACGCTTTTCTCCTGGTAATATATGTGTTACACTGAAAGACCAACCTCCTTTGATGGAAGGAAAACTCTATTCATCTGTGGACCATGAAAGCTGCACATGGATAATTAGAGAGAACCAAAGGTGTTGTATATGGTTTTTAGTTTTCCTATTGATAGGAATTGATTTCAAAGTGTATACTGTAACTCTGACTTCTGGCCCCTCTGGGAATGGACTCATTTAATGCTACACCCTGCATCCCTCCTTACAAGAATCTATGTTCTCTGCTGAAAATAGTTCACAGGCTTTTCCAATGCTGTCTCACAATACTGTTTCTTTAGCTAATTGTGAAAGTAATCTCCTCCTCTTAGTTACTTGCTTATAAGCTACATGACCAGCTAATTTCTACAGCAACATAGAACAGCCTTTCCAAAATAATAAATTCTTTTATTTCAGAAAAAAGGCATTATGTATAACTGTCTGTACTGACAGCTATACCTGTTATCAGAGCAGGAAATTAAGAGTTTCTACTACTGAGCTGTGGAGCAGAGTTCTTTGCAACATTAGGGATACATTGATGCTCATTAGAATCATAGAATCATTTAGGTTGGAAAAGACCTTCAAGATCATCGAGTCCAACCATCAACCATGCCCACTAAACCATGTCCTGAAGTACCCAGTCTACTCGCTTTTTGAATACCTCCAGGGATGGTGACTCAACCACTTCCCTGGGCAGCCTATTCCAATGTCTGACAACCCTCTCAGTAAAGAAATTTTTCCTAATATCTAACCTAAATCTCCCTGCCTCAACTTGAGGCCATTTCCTCTCGTCCTCTCTCCAGCCACCTGACAGAAGAGACCAGCACCCACCTCACTACAACCCCCTTTCAGGTAGTTGTAGAGAGCGATGAGGTCTCCCCTCAGCCTCCTCTTCTCCAGACTAAACAGCCCCACCTCCCTCAGCCGCTCCTCACAAGACTTGTGCTCCAGGTCCCTCACCAACTTGGTTGCCCTTCTCTGGACACGCTCCAGCACCTCAATGTCTTTCCTGTAGTGAGGGGCCCAAAACTGAACACAGTACCAAGGTACGGCCTCACCAGTGCCGAGTACAGGAGAACAATCCCCTCCCTGCTCCTGCTGGCCACACTATTTCTGATACAGGCCAGGATGCCATTGGCCTTCTTGGCCACCTGGGCACACCACTGGCTCATATTCAGCCGGCTGTCAACCAGCACCCCCAGGTCTTTCTCTGCCGGGCAGCTTTCCAGCCACTCTTCCCCAAGCCTGTAGCGCTGCATGGGGTTGCCATGACTGAAGTGCAGGACCTGGCACTTGGCCTTGTTGAATTTTATACAATTGGCCTCGGCCCATCGATCCAGCCTGTCCAGATCTCTTTGTAGAGCCTCCCTACCCTCAAGCAGATCGACCCTGCCTCCCAACTTGGTGTCATCTGCAAACTTGCTGAGTGTGCACTCAAATCTCCTTGTCCAAATCATTCATAAAGACGTTAAACAGAACGAGGCCCAACACCAAGCTCTGGGGAACACCACTTGTGACCCACTGCCAACTGGATTTCACCCCATTCACCGCAACCCTCTGGGCTCGTCCATCCAGCCAGTTTTTCACCCAGCGAAGAGTACACTTATCCAAGCTATGTGACGCCAGTTTCTCAAGGAGTATGGCATGAGAGACAGTGTCAAAGGCCTTGCTGAAGTCCAGGTAGACAACATCCACAGCCTTTCCCTCATCCACTAGGCGGGTCACCTGGTCATAGAAGGAGATGAGGTTAGTCAAGCAGGACCTGCCTTTTGTAAACCCATTCTGACTGGGCCTGATCCCCTGCTTGTCCTGGACTTGCCATGTGAGTGCTCTCAAGACAAACTGTTCCATAATCTTCCCCTGTACTGAGGTCAGGCTGAGAGGCTTGTAGTTCCCCGGATCCTCCCTCTGACCCTTCTTGTAAATGGGAGTCACATTGGCAAGCCTCCAGTCCTCTGGGACCTCCCCTGTTGACCAGGATCGCTCATAGATGATGGAGAGTGGCTTGGCAAGGACCTCTGCCAGTTCCCTCGGTTCTCTTGGATGGATCCCATCTAATCCCATAGATTTCTGAGTGTCCAGATGGTGTAGTAGGTCCCTAACTATTTCCTCCTGGATTAAGGAAGGTATGTTCCGCTCTTCATCCTTACCTTCCAGCTCAAGGGGTGGAGCCCTGGGGATAACTGGTCTCCCTATTAAAGACTGAGGCAAAGAAGGCATTAAGTACCTCGGCCTTTTCCTCATGTCTGGTGGCTACGTTCCCTTCTGTATCCATTAAAGGATAGATATTCTCCTTGTGATTCTTTTTACTGTTAACATATTTATAAAAACATTTGTTGTTGTCCCAAACAAAAATTATGTTAACCTTCTTGCTCTATTTTCACATGCTTTGCCTGTGTTTGTTGGCAGCCAGACTTAATGTCCTGTTCTAATGTTCTCCGTTGCCTTTCTGAAACAATATTTGGTGATATGAGCTACTGGAGCTTAACCCATGCATGTCTGTTTGACTACCTGGGGTTTTTTATTCTCTTTGAGAATAATCTTGTCCATATAATTCTAGTTTATCACAGTGGAAAAGTGAAGAGGTAAACTGTTAAATGATTTTCGTAAAGACACTGTATCATATAGTTATGAAACTTTGGTGAGAAATTCAGTAAGTAAATTCAGTAGTATTTTGAAGTACTTAAGAAAACTTTATTTTTTCTAAGTAGCCAGGAAAAAAACCCAGGTATCAAAACATTAAACATAGCTTTTTAAGCAGAGTAAACTTAACTGGTTCAACAATTACTCCCCTCCCAATTTTAGGATTGATTAGCCTGAATTTGCCCTGTTGTTTGTGTTAATAATTTCTCTTCTATTGTGGCTTTCCACAAACAGAAGCTTTTTTTGGTAGTAGTGTAACAGAAATTCTTCATGTTTGACTTATAAATTCCTTATTATATTTTCCTAATCCATTTTACATTATGTACGTGATATAAAATTAATCTGTGAACTTAACATGCTGTAGACCTCAAATAGAAATGTTCATAGTTTTATTCAAGAAGTAAATTTTAGTTGTCTCTTTCTTTCTGAAATAAAAACATGAAAGAATGGAGAGGTTAAAAAAAAAGAATTCAGAGCTCCTTAAACCATAGTCAAATTTACTTTTTTTTAATTTCAAAACCTCTTTGTCCTAGAATTTTAGTTCTTTGGTAGAATTGCAACCTAATTTTGGACATCTAATTTTGCTTTCTACTTTATATTGTTAGTAGAGCCTCTGGAGGGCCCTTCAGAGCCCTAAACTGATCTCAGTGACAAGACATGTTCAACCATTGTTTTAGGGTTTATTGTGGATGCAAATTGTCTACAACATTTGCATTAATAAGAATGCTTCATATCTGGAAGATGACATAAGTATTCAGTTTTACTTCCACATGTGTTTCTGCACATGTAAAAGGGAGTGTGAAATCACTGCATATTTGGAAATGTACCCTTCTGAATTTTTTCTGTTTGAGACTTGAAGCTAAAAGCTTGTGTTATAAGCTACTTTCTTTGTTGCAGTTAGCAGGTGCAGTGAATGTTTATATGCACCATTTTGTCCTGCCTTGTAGGACATGAACTGAGCGAGCTGTTGAATGCTTAAATACTGCAAAACATACTCCTCTTGATCTTTCCAATTACACGTGGGATTGAAAGTCTTTGCTCATCTCTTGCAGTTGTACTTCCCCTTGTGCTACCTGGTCAGAATAACTAGAACTGAAGTATCATCTAAATGGCTCAAAGTAAGACTGAAGTTGTGATGAATGAAATGCAGTATGTGCATTATGAGTAATAAGTAGCTGATCCACACTTTAATGATCTTGTTTTTTGTACCCAAAGCTTATTTTACCTGTAGAAGTACCTGGGAATTTTTAGAGCTTTTCTTGTCAATTGCACTTGTGGGTTTCTGTCTGCCTGAGGGAGGTGGGTCTGAAGGTCTGAAACAGACTAAAGGTTTTCTGCTCCAAGAGCTTTGTGATCATACTTCTGAGCTTTGAAAAGTTCATACATTTTACAGTCTGTAACTCGGCGCATTGTTTATTTAATCTAGGGGTATGTTTCATTATTTAGAAGTCTCATATTAGTCTCTTAAATGTTCAAACAGACATTTGTGTGTAAGTCCACAGCTATCAGGTGCTGATATGTGTAGTCTTATTGTAAGACAGAGTTGTCCAGGTTCTTCAAGTGTTCCTTTTGTAATATCTGTGAAACTAGGCACCCAAATATTTCTTCGCTACGGGTAAAGTATTCTAACTAGTGCTGGCCATCTATACTTTTGGTAATTATTATAGCCTTAGTTAATATCACAGCTATTATCATTAATGCGTAATCAAAAAAGGAGTTCAGAGTAGTAGGAGTGTCCATACTTAAACAAGAATGAACTTAAATCAGTTGGTTTTCAGTGTCTGCTACAGTATTAAATTTGTGAGGTTTCTTTTTTTTTTTTTTCCTTAAACTTGTTAGAGGCTATATTTGCAGTAGTGGGCTACAGGATGAAAAGTTAATCTTTTTTTAACTGGCTACCTCTGGTACTCCTTTTAAGATATAGACGATATTTGGATATAGAAGGTATTTGTGCTGGTTTGTTCACTTCAACCAAAATAAGACTGTGAGCTGCAGCTGTTAGGTGTTGCTCTGTCAGAGTCCAATGCTCTCGGATGAGGTTCTTCTAGATATTCGACGCCATGGAGGGTGTAATGATCAAATTTACTTATTTGAAGACAGTTGATGTTACACGGGATTTCTGATTTAGCAGAGTAATACAAAATACACGGAAAACTTGATACAAATGTAAGTTACAGTTAGCAAAATACAGAAATTGCAATACACGGTTTAGTCACAATACCAATATGATTCCCATTACCAGTCTGTATAATATGCACACCGTCACAGTGCTGGGCATCCCTACTTGCCAAGAAGGAGTATGTGGGTTGAAGCCAGCTCCAACCCATTGCTCTCTTTCAAATTATTTTGTTAGTTGTATAGTTTTATACTCTGCCTGGGCTGAGCCACGTATTCACTCCCATCCTGCTGGTCTGGCTAACTCAGGGGGATACTCACGCTCTTATGATGAACTCAGGGAGAAACATTTACACCACCAGTTGATCCACTCAACTGTTGGTAGCTGTTTGTCTAAAACAAAGGCCACCCTTTGCGTTGAGATAAGGTCAGCTTCTTTGCATTATTCCTTGAGCTTCATGGGCACATCCCCTTGCCCATCTCCACCAGCAATCTTCCCTTGAAGGGCTTTGTTCAGTGAGTCATGTTCCACTCCTAGGGGTTTAGTCTGTCACAAGCTCTGTGACATATAACACTGGTTGCAGACTGGAAGCACCTTGTGTTGATCATTCTGTAAATGCAGAACCATAGGCTAAGTCCTGAACCAAAGAAATTATTTAAACGTAAGATAAAGTGTGGGGAAAAAGGATACAGGCTGATGGGAGAAGGGGAATGCAAGGAAATGAGTAAGTAAAACTGTGTTTCAGGTCTCATTGTTCAGCTATGGTAGATGATGGAATTTGACTTAGATCTTCCAAAAAGTGTAAGAAAAGCAGCAAGCAACAAGGTCTGTCAGTATATGTATTTGGACATTTACTGCTTTTTTTCTCTTTTAGGATAAAGTAATGAGCTACTATTTCTTGAAACAAGCAGGTTTGGTTAAATGGTTGCTTAAAAAGTAATTTCCCTATATGGTGTCATTATGTGAAAAAAATATAAGAAGAAAGTAGTTGTTTCTGTGGAAATAGAGGTATTTCCTTTAAGATAAAAATTATTTTTTCTCACTGGGAAAGTTTTGCAAATACTCTGTGATAAAAGACATAAATTTAGCAAAATATAAAGTTGCCTGTATCACTAAGTGTATTTGTCTTTTATCCAAATCAAAACCAAATCCAAAATATAGCATTACATGAGCTACTATGAAGAAAATTAACTCTATCCCAGCTAAAGCCAGTACATGAGTGCAACAAAAATACTTAAATCTATTTACTAGTTTTAAGGATTGGGAATTTCTTGGGTTAAGAAAAACTCTGCCTTAAAGTTCCTGATGTATTAATGGCAACAGTATACCTCCTGGACATGGGACAGAGGTGGGGGGAATGCATTAGTTGTGTCCATTTCCAAGGCATTTTGAAATGTCTTCTGTTGTTCTCTGCTTGGCCTCTTATTTTCTAATATCAATCACTAATATCCAATATAGTTTTACTTTGAAGCACTTACGGCTTCTGAAAAATATAGAGATAAATACCAGATAAAGTGTTTGCTACTTGCATTACAGTCCCTTTTGCATTTCATAAACTAAACTTAATAACAAAAAAACTTTTGAGTGCTTAGTTATTGACTTCTTTACTTTTTGAGTTTTCTTTGATTAACAGTCACCAAATACTTGCTCTGAGCAAAAATGTGCAGGTGTTAAAAGAAAATCCCAAAAATCTAGTAGTACAGAAGCGGTTCTTGCTATGCATCTGGCAATTAAATATAATTGTGCTGTAGTTAGTGATTTCTTATAAAGAAAAATTACCCCTTGGACCATGCATGTTTCTTGGAAATCTTGTTTTTGACTCCAGCAATTCAGGAGTCAAATTTCAGTGGTGTAACTTTGTAAAAGAATCCCAGTCTGTCTTACCTTTTATTTATAATCAGTACTCCTTTGGGGTTTTTTTTCCCCTTTTTGCTGTAGATTTATTACTGCTTTTACAGTTTAGTTATTCTGAATGCAATATATTGTAATAAAGGTAATCATACAATAGGAAAATTGTGCTTTATTTTTTACCTGGTAGAGCCTTAGAGCAGGGCAGGTGGTTTTATTCATCCCCTGCACTTTTCAGTATCTAATACCTGTTTTATGAAAGTGTATGCACTTCAGTTTTCTGTCTCAGAGTCCCAGTTCAAGAAGTTATTTCTGCATATGTGAAGCTTACTGATATGAAAAAAACCCTCTAACTTTTTGTGTAGTTCAGATCTGTCCTTGCATCTCCATCAGGCATTTTTGGTCCACAGAGTTTCTTGCAGAGTTTCGCCTGCAGAGTTTCCAATTTAGTTTCCTCTGAGAGCTTTTGAGATGCACAAAGTTTAATCCTGTAAACCTGAACCAGTGTGCAGTAAGTGGGAATACAGATTCATTTCAATGGCACAGTAAAGTTCCCAACCGTAATGTTATGGAAAATATGGCTATCTAAGGAGGGATTTTGAGAACACTTAGTGAAAAATAGACTTCATATTAACCGGAGCTTTCTGACACCATGAAGTCTGAATTTCAATTAGAAAAAAAGGAAAAAAAAAGTCATTACAGTTTCAGATTACAACTTGTAAATATATACATTTTTCACTACCATTCCCCAAGTGTGGAAATTGGGGAGCAGAGTGTTATATGTTTGAAATACTGTATCTTATGATAGTTTTGCATATTGCTTTTTATGTAATACATATGGCAGTCGTTATTCTTGCCATTATAATAGTGTAAAATACAAAGTGAAAAAAGATATGGTAGAGATAATACTGATTTCTGGGTGCTTGGACAAGCTTGATGCTAATGTTTTTCATTAATGCATTGTGTGAACTTCTATGTGAACTATACAGGTGTATATACCTCATGAGATTTGGTTATAATAAGAAAACTAGCATGACATTTTCTGCAAGACATTCCCACTTAAATTTTTTTTTTCAATTTCTTCTGGTAGTCATATGTTTTAGTTTTAGGTAGTCATGCGAGAGCAGGGAGTTAGACTTGATCCTTATAGGTCCATTCCAACTTGAGTTATTCTGTGATTCTATGGTTTTCCTTTAGTTTCCCTCATCAAAAATCTTGGCTTTTTCCCAAAAGTTTAACTGTAAAAGGTAGTTATTCTCCAAAAGAATTAAATAGAGGGACTAATATTTGTATATAGATTATACTAATACTATATGCTAGCATGTGACTTTTCAGTTATTAGATATCATAATGAAAAATAACTCAGCTGAGTAATGCAATTTTTTTATTACTCAATCAAGTGAGTAATATAGCATGAATCTCAAGCTTCTATTTTAATGGGAAATAGTAATTACACGTTTCAATGTAATAAGTTGCACTCGGTTCTTAATGTTGGTACTGCAGTACCACTTTAAATCTATTGATTAAAATTCTAAAACTTGCTCCAAATATGCTCTGTAAAAATATGCTATTTCAATGCCAATGTAATTGCTTTAGAAACTGATTCAGAGTTCACCAAGTAGTTATTGCTATGGTGCAATAGTTAGGTTTTCCTGTTCTGTCAGGTAAAAGACTATCATTGTAGACCCTATAAATGTATCTAAAAAGTGAATATAATAAAACTAGCTCTCATTTTACCATTATATCCATGTCTTGGTCTAACACAGTAATTAAATGAAGTTGCTGTGTTGGTGCATTGGGCTAAGTCTCTTGTCTTCTATTTAGTTAGTTAGTTATTCCTAATGGTTATATCAGGTTCTCTTAAGTTTGTTTGTTGTTTTTTTTTCACAGGTTACCGAAATCGTATCTCTTCTGAGATAAGATTTTAGATACACGATGTAAATAATTAATGTTGTAGTATTTCTGAGGTCTATAAAATACAAGTATTTTTGTCCTAGATGTTATATAAAGGTAGTGCACACTTAAGTAGCCCTATTAAGTACTTTTTAGGTTTCAAATAAACTTCTGTAGTAAAATTCTGTCACTCTTTGAATAGATTTCTTTAGAGGTGATCTCCTATGGTATTTAAAATATTTTAGAAAGACTGTTTCAGGGGAAACTGCATTTACATTGAAAACTCTGAGGACACCTACATGAATACATTCTCTGTGTTCTTAAGCTTTTAAAAATTACATGTCCTTGGTCTGTTTTTCTTCAGAACACTTTCTGTTAGAATACTTCATTTTATAAATTGAATGCTAATGGTTTTTGTTAACGTGATTTTCATTATTGATTCAGTTTGGAGAGGAGAAGTGCTCAAATCTACATTTAGAGCTTTTTGACTAATCTGAGAAATGGATGCAGTATTTTCATCTACTACTCTGTCTTCTATTTGCATTTTAGTTTGGAAATTTCTCTAATTAAGAAGAATGAGGGACCCCGGTGGCCAGAGCTAATAGTTGGTGACACAAGAGGGGAATTCATTATGGACTCTTCCCAGTGCTCTGAAATAACTGAAAGCCTGATGCATCTTACCTCTGAAGTAATGGTAAGGAGTTGAAAATAAAACATTTAAAATTCTTGCACATTTGCATGTTGTTTTTTCTTGATACGCTAATTTGCACTTCATTGACATAGCTCATCAGTTCGTTTACTATTCAGAATCCTAACTCAACATTCATTTTTAACTGAAACTGTTAACAAACTAATGGCACTAGAGTTGTGAATATACTTTGAACAGTAATATCATCTTCATGGGGGACTGAATTTAGCTTACATGATAGCATCTGTGCACCAAAACAGAAGTCTGATTTAATATTGAAAATAAATTTTGTTCCCACCACTTATAATGTGGCAGTTTGTTTTAAAGCAGTTGATTTAAGTAATTTTGAAGGATGTCTGTTTCTTGTTCATCAGTAGGTTAGCAACACCTTTATACTGTCTTCCTAGAGATACTGTACTTGATTTATAGACTGTGAGTGTAAATGACATTTTTAAAAGGAAAATTTAGGAAGCATAAGCATGACTCATGAACTTTCTGGCATTATTGTTATACAAGGAGTCTACTTAAAACAAAATAAAATGTATTTTTTAACTGCTGTTTGCTTCATACTTCCCCTTTTGGTTTAATTAGAAAATGGCATCTCATCTAAAACTTGAAGTGTGGCTCCCTATGGGTTTTGATATATTAGTTTTGGATTATTACTTTTTTTAATAAGGCTGAAAAATGTTACTAAAATAAATTCTGTTTAGTGCTGTAAATTGATTTCTCTCCTCTATCCCTTGTTATTGGTGGGCAAGCTATTATAGTACATCTTTTGACCATAGATTTATTGGGAACTTCAAATTTCTTTTCTCTTATAACTCATAGTGAGCTTAAAGTGATGATTTTTTTTTTTGGTCACAACTTTTCAGCTTGTGTGCAATAATGAAATAATGATCATATAAAAAGAAAAATCTTTCCTTAGGTAACTGTTCATTTAAATAAATGTTACATATTTTGTGATACTGCAACTTTAACTACGTATGTATAATAAAGGCATGGATTCTTTTTGATCATCTCAGTTGCTTATGGTAATGATGTTTACCTGGAAGGGTTTTTTTAAAGGCCACCTGATGAAGCAGTAAACCAAAGACCATCAAGAACATTTGACAGAGAGGAGGTGAACCCCAAAGTCTAGCCTCTAAAGAGACCGATACCCTGTTTTAAGTCTCGTGCACTAGTCTGCAGTATATGACACTTAACTTTCCTGGTTTCTGTAGTTTAAGGACGTTTCTTTGTTATCTCTTCATGTTTGTTTTCTTTGAACTTAAATTGTGTTAGCAATTAAAAAAAAATTGTGCTTATCTGCTTCACTTTGTGGACTGAACCAAAATAAAAGTTCATAATAATCAGCTAAAATGAATGAAGAAATGAACACAGGAACTCAAGAACTCCTCCCTGTCAGATTAATTGAGTCGGTGCCCTGTCTAATCTTTCTTTACACATTCGTTTGGCCTCAGATTTCAGCTTATATTAGTTGTCAAGATGGTGTCTTCTTTGTGCAAGAAGTAACATTAATTCATACTTAATGAGGAAGTGTATATTTTTGCCTTTTGTTAAATGAAGGTCCCCTTCTTTTATCACGAAATGAGTTCTTTAAATATATCATAAAGGTAACATAACTTGGTTGTTTTGCACATTATCCAAGGAAGATGTCATTAGCAGAAGTAAGCTGTTTCTGTATGCAGTAGAGTTATATCTTTCTCTTGAATTAGTAGTAAAAGTGACTGTTTTTCATTTCTTTGACATGATGTGAAAAAATACATGTGCTTTTTTCTTGGTTTGAGTGCATTGAAAAATATGCACAACAACATTATTACTTTTAAATAATTATAAGCAAAGCCAAAGGAGGCATGTATTTAGAGCTACTTTCAAAATGAATTAATCCATTTTTTTAATAGCATTTCCGATGGCAATCTGAAAGAAGCTTAAACAGATGTAAATTTACTAAACCTGCGTAGGTTTTCAGGATTGTATACTTTTGCTTCTTACAGAAGGGAATTTATTGTCCATGTTTTAGTGGCTTATATACCTTTCCTTAAACTGAAATGGATTTTGTTGTACCTACCACTCATGCTATCCTCCACAACAGAAACAGTTCTATTCATTTTGAATAAGTACATAATAGCTTAATCTTTAAGTATGTAATGATATACAAATGATTCTTCCTGTTCTCTTGAACTTTTTTTTTGTTATGAAAAAGGATTTATGTGTGTGTGTATATATATATATATGTATATATTCAGTAGCTCAGATTTTCAGTTTAGTTTATTGACTTTTATTTCAGAATCCAAACCCTGAAAAGGAAAACCCACCTTGTAATGCTCAAGAATTAGAAGAATGTGATGCTTTTCTTGAAGATAGCGCAAGCTTGTGCAGATTTGATGGTGATACGTTGAAAGTCACTCATGTAGTAAGTGCTGCAAATTGTTACAGAAATATTGTAAAACTTTTTTTATGATACGCAAGTTGAATTCTATTACCAGAATAAAAATCTGTGCAAACTCGTGAAACCACATAAATTTCTTCCATAATGTAAAATCACAGTAGCAACAGAAATTATCAAACAATGTATGTTCTTCACTGTCATTTTAATGTAAAAACAAGGCTCCTTTTATTCTGATTTAAAAAATATGTATACTTTCACAAGTGAGCCGTTTGAAAAAGCAAAGTTATGTCAGAATAATTATAAGAAAGGGGTCTTTTTCAGTGGCATAAAATTCTTCTAGATTCCTTCACTTGCATTTTTCTCAGTAACTTTTCAGATAGCCTGTTAGAACGTTGACCCTTTTTACTATGGAGCTGGAGCATAGATCACTTTACGATACTTGTTTGTCAATCGCACTGGAAATAACAGATTGTAAGCAAAATGCTTTGATAAGAGGCTTGATCTGGGTTGTAAGCAGCCTTGACTAACAGTAAGTTAGGACTTGATCTGGTCCATTGGCTAAAGCGGGAAACAATTATATGAAAGTGTCACAGATTTTGTCGTCTTGAGGTTTGGCGTTTTTTTTCCAAGATGTCTCTACTAAGCTTGTAATAAACATTGGCATTGCACGTCATCACTACCTTGTGTCACACAGAGTACATATAGGATAACCTGTTTTGTACAGAAAATGTCATAGTTACAGGATAAGATTTTGAATCAGTTCATAATTTCTCTTTTCCCCAAAAAAGCTCTAGAAGAAGTCTTCAGTCTGTGTCTTACAGATCTTGGTTTGTTCTTACTTTAAAAAAAAAAAAAAAATCTATATCTTTTTTCCTTTGACAGTACAGATACATATGTATTTGTCTGTGGGTGTGTATATATATATGTGTATATATGCCTGTACATGCATCTGTGCTGCCAAAAAAAAAAGATTAATTTTAAAGGCTAGCATGCTCCACCAAGAAAGTAATCTGTTTTGTGGATACAGCATAATAGGTAGCATTTGTCAGATCTGTATTTGGTAGGAGGACATTTCATAGCGACTCATTTCAAATGTATTGTAGCTGTTCAGTGATGCATGGTAAGGGAACAAGAGACAGTAGGCATAAGTAGAAACAAGAGGTTCAAACTGGGTGGAAGGAAAAACTTTTACGCCATGATTGTAGCATGGATCGGGTTGCCTAGTGAGGTTGTGCAGCCTCTGTCCTTGAGGTTTTCAAGACCAGACTGGATAAAGTTCTGAATAACTTAGCTTAAACTACTGCTTCTTGCCCCAAAGGGTCAGAAGTTTGTGCCCCAGAGACATTTCACAGACCAGGAGGAACATGGTATCATGGGATAAGAAAGGCAGATCTGACATATACTGCTTTCTAGCAGACAGCAAGACATTGTGGAGCAAGTTTGAACTCCACGGTGGTTGTGAAGAGCTCTTAAAAATGGGTGGCATAAAGGTAATCCAAAGGCTAATGTGTTTAAAGCATTATGGTCAAAGGACAATTACTGTGGGTAGGAAATTTTCTTGCATGTATCACCTGCTCTAGCCAACCCTGCTTTGAGCAGGGAGGATTGCACTAGAGTATCTCCAGAAGTCCCTTCCAATGTCAACTATGTGATCTTGTGTTTTTGCTCCTTGTTGGAGGACCTAGGAACATGAGTATTTCAGTAGATTTTTCACCATACAGGAATATATTTTCACTTTGATTTAGTTCTTCTTTCAAATTGTTTGGTGTTTTTTGTTAGCAATTCAGGGGCCTATTCTTTCAGAAATGTAGCTGATACAGCTTTTCACCTTTGTAGTAAACCATCATCAGTAGTATACAGTTGTATATGTCTTTTTGCTCTTGAGTTGGAAACAACTTTGTGAAACGTGTCCAGAATCTTAGAGAATTTAAGACCATGAAATATTTATATAGGAACATTTCCCACCTTGAGTTATAATTTAAGGATATAAACATAGATGATGTCATGATATCTGTTCTGTAAAGAGACTTGATTCTATTTTTTTGACACTTTCTAGTACCTTTCAATGGCAATAATCCAGCTGAAATGGGTGTGGCAAAACTATATTTGTCTCTTCTAGCTCAAATGCAGTTATTCATTTTCTCCTATAGAGAAATATTTGCTTTAGTAATATCAGTTCTTTAAGTTAGGTTAACGGTGGCCTAAACTCCAGTGTGTTGTGTTTCCAAGCCATCAGAAACTAGAGATGCATGATGGACAACATTTTTTGCTGTAGAGGGGAGGGGCTTTGTCAGGTGAAAAGTATGGGCTGCCTAAAAACACTACCTTGGTTTTGGAACTGCTTGCACTAGCATTTACAACATAAAGTTTGCCTTCTGTGTTGCATGGATTAATATGTATACTACCATATGCTTGAGTTCTGTATTACGCATCCTATTAAAACCAGTTGTAGGCACATGTATGATAAAATGCACAGAAATTAGTAGATGAAAAAATGCTGAAAGATGCCTGAAGTACAAAGTGGTGCTGTGTGCTTACAGTGGGGAAACCCAGGCATCCCAATACTTAGCAAAATTGGGATGGCTTAGGGGAAGAGATGCTGCTTGTTTTTTAGATACAGAAGAAGAGAGTATTCCCAGTGCTTTGTGGAGCAAGAAGGAAATAGGGAATGGACTACATAAATCTAGGTCTTTGAATAGCTAATTGCAGTAGGTAATTTCAGAAAGCAGTTATTTGTGGCAGGAGACTTTTTTGGTTGATAGGTGGATTATGGAAATGCAACAGAAGAACTTCTGTTCATCTTCTACTAGCTGACATACAAGGTCACTCTTTCCTTGCTCGTATGCCTATATAGAAGCAATAGTCTGCCTTCTCAGTAGGTGCCAGAATGGCTTCTGTTAACTAAAATTGCATATGTCTCTGTAAAATACATCATGTTACATCTGAGCTACAGGAGTGTGGGAGACATGTCATGTATTTGTGCATGTCCGTTGGAGTGGAGATACTCTAGTGGTAATAGGCAAGAGAAGAGGCAAGGTCTTCCTCAAGAGCTTTTCTGCTTCTGGGTGCTTTACCTAACTGCTTCAAGTTTGAGTGGTTCTTTATTGCAGTTGAGTTTCTCATATTCTGACAACACACAAAACTTTTTGCATTTGGGCTGTCTGTCCAAGTGATCCATATATCTGTTGCATGTAAAATAGGCAACTAACCCAGCTTAAAGAGCATTTATTGAGTTTTTCAAAAGACTCCAAATTACTTCTGGGGGGGAAAAAGTAATCAAAGTTCCGAATTACTTTGCTGAGGTACTGTGCATTTAAAATATTTCTCTGCATATTCCACAAACTTATTGAAACCTGGAAAAAAAACTTAATTCCTATAGTTTGTTCAAAACTGCTTGTGATGTAAAAATTAACAATAGCTAAGTAACATGACACTTGTACTTATCATATGTAATGTTATTGTTGGGACACATGTAGACTTAAACTGTATGTTGGGTGTTTGGGTTTTGTTTTTTTATTTAACTACAGATGTTTGTTTCTATTAAAATAAAACCCTTGATGTTTGTAAAACTATCACGTTTCTGGTACTTCTAAAAGAATATATTTTTTAATTTTTCATGTGTGCTTTTCTAGATAAGGGATTTACAAGATACTAAGTGCTTGACCCTTAAAAATATGTGTAGCTGCTGTTGAAAGACATCTACAGCTTACTCGGTGCTGTGTGCTATAAAGCTTACTTCTTGCCATATGTAAATACTTTTTCTATCCTGTTGTACCTTTGGCTGAAAATGGTGATTGCTGGTGATTTCAAAGCTACTTTTGTGCTAACGCTGGGATTTTACTGTGGTGTAAACATTTGTGCAGTTTTTTTGATTCTCTGTGAAACTACTTCCTCAGTTCAAAGAAGTTTCATAAGAGTTAATTCCTCAGAATTCAACCCTCTCCCTTAGCTAAAGGACTGATGCATAATAAAGTGAGCTGTGGATAAGAAGAGTGCTCTGTCTGTTATCCATCTCAGTGGACCCACTGTAAGACACAGCTGAACCAATCAGGGATGCTGGAGGCCTTTCAGGGAAAACATACTTAAGAAAGGCTAAAAAATACTGTGCAGCAGCAGTGAGAGAGAGGAGTGAGAAAAATGTGAGTGAAACAGCACTGCAAACACCAAGGTCAGTGAAGAAGGAGGGGGAGGAGGTCCTCCAGGTGCCAGAGCAGAGATTCCCCTGCAGCCCTTGGTGAAGACCATGGTGAAGTAGGTTGTCCCCCTGCAGCCCATGGAGGACCACAGTGGAGCAGATATCCATGCAGCATCCTGTGGAGGACCCTACCAAAAGGAGGAAGGTGCAGCCAGTGGAGAGCCCACACAGGAATCAGGCTCCTGGTAGGAGCTGTGGCCTGTAGAGAGCAGCGCACACAGGAGAGGTTTTCTGGTAGGAATTGTAGCCTGTGGAGGACCCACACTGGAGCAGTCCATTCCTGAAAGACTGTACCCTGTGGAAAGGCCCCATGTTGGAGCAGTTCTTGAAGAACTGCAGCCCATGGAAAGGGCCCATTTTGGAACAGTTCATGAAGGACTGTATCCCATGGGAGGGACCCCACGCTGGAGCAGGGGAACAGCCTGAGGAGGGAGGAGCAGCAGAGAAGAAGCATTATGGACTGACGCCAACCCCATTCCCCATCTCCCTGCACCAGTCTGGTAGTGAGGGAGGTAGAGGAGTCAAGAGTGAAATTGAGCCAGGGAAGGGTGTGGGGAAGGGTTTTTTTTAAATCTATGTCTTTGTTTCTCATCACACTACTTTATTTTTAATTGGCAATAAATTAAATTCATTTTTCCCAAGTGAAGTCTGTTTTGCCCTCTATGGTAAAATTGGTAAGTGATCTCCTTGTTGTTATCTTGACCCACGAGCTTTTTCATCTTACTCTCTCCCCCTGTCCTGTTGGGGAGGGGAGTGAGAGAGCAGCTGGGTGGGTGTCTGGCAGCCACCCAAAGTCAAGCCCACCACAGTAACTCAGTCCATATCCAATTTGAAAGGCAGTAGCTGTCTGGCCTGTAAACACAGCCAAAGCTCAGGATTAGTCAAAGGATGTACTGCCTGCTATTCAACAAAGCAGGTAGGGATTATTGGTGGAAAGAGCTTAAAACTGAGAAGAGATGACATCTACAAGGAGTTCTGGGGAAGAAAAGCTTGGGGAGTCTTGAGCTGAGTGTATGAGAAGTCTCTTGTTCCCTTTCTCAAGTTTTTTCCCCTTCATTCTGCCTATTTTTCCTGTGCTCCTTAGAGTTCTGTTCCACTCACCTCTTGTCGGTGTCATGTGCCTGACCTCTGCTGACTTACCTTTCTCAGATGTTAAGAAGTTTGAGGGACTAGGACTTCATACTTTCTGTTTTGCTCAGCTCATTACACCAATATAACACCTGCCTTCTGTTTTCTGCTTTGTTCTTGTTAAGGCACCTTATTAGTGGAGCTCTTGATGTTATCTTTATTAGTGTTTCTTTGCCTCTTAGTTGCTTAGAAAATCAGTAACCCTCATTTCATGATTGCATCTGGCCCTAATGGAGACTGAGGATTATTTCACCTCTTTTGCAGTTGTATTAAAACTGAAGAATTTGTGTGCTTGTTGAATAGTATGAAGCTGTTTTTGAAGTTGAGCCATTAGACTTGAACTTAATCAGCTGAAATAATTATATTAGTTCTGCCATAGACTGTATAACCTTGATAAAACAAATTTCTGGCTGTTGTTTCTGTCCACTGGATTTTATGTTAAGATTAAACTAATGTCTTCAAGACAGACACCCCTTCCTGTAACATTTGTACAATGATAGCATAAAAGGTTTGCAGTTCATAGTTATTGCCACAATATATGTAATAAAGAGAGTGCTATGACAACTACTTGCGAACCATTAGTCAACAAATATCAGCATCTGAAATGCTGATTGAGGAGCAATATATTATACCATGTATTAGGTATAATCCTGCATGTTGCTATTGCAGACATAGCTTCTGGATGTAAAATATAGTTCAAATCATAGAATCATTTAGGTTGGAAAAGGCCTTCAAGATCATCGAGTCCAACCATCATCCATGCCCACTAAACCATGTTCTGGAGTACCTTGTCTATGTGCTTTTTGAATACCTCCAGGGATGGTGACTCAACCACTTCCCTGGGCAGCCTGTTCCAATGTCTGACAATCCTCTCAGTAAAGAAATTTTTCCTAATATCCAACCTAAATCTCCCTTGCCACAACTAGAGGCCGTTTCCTCTCGTCCTGTCTCCAGCCACCTGACAGAAGAGACCAGCGCCCACCTCACTACAACCCCCCTTCAGGTAGTTGTAGAGAGTGATAAGGTCTCCCCTCAGCCTCCTCTTCTCCAGACTAAATGTATTTGTTCATCTGGTAACATGAACAGTGTAGGTCAGCTCTGAGTACAAACAGGAATTCCTGAGCGTTTTTTCTTGATAGATCTTAAGGGAACAGATTGTTCTTTCCTCTTTGAGCATTTTCTGGTCACAGTGCTACATTAAAGGTATTGCTATTAAATTCATTTAGAAGGCTTTACATAGAAAACTCAAAATATGCGTTGTTTTATTCTTTATTCTTATTGTTTATTCAGATAGCAGGATACGCCTGTCCTGTCTGTCTTATGTAATTGGTCATTCCTGGTGAATAGAAGTGGTTATTGAATGGTTTTGGTGACGTAGACATATTTGATGAAGAGTGTGCTAATCTGAAATCTAGTAATTATTTGATTTTGAGGAAATAAAAAATTGTTGACATTTCATAATTTTAGTATTCTAACTAATCCTTGTTCCAGTGCTTACCAGCTTTTACTGCAGAGGGACAGTATTTCCTTCCCTGTTGGCATAGCGGAAAACCAGTCGTGATCACTTACAGAGAATCTCATCCTAACATCAGAAGTTGTAGGTTAGGATCTTCTATCCTAGAAAACCATTTCTACACAAAACACATTCCCATTTGCTTGTGTAGTGGACATAATGTTTCCTTAAATATTATCCCAACAAACTTAATTGCATCTGCTTGAAATGTATTGGCTATCTGTAGTGTATGGAGCTGTTGATCAGTGGGATGCAGCATAATGTATTCAAATATTTTGTCAACTAACAAACATGAAGCTGTTGATCATCTAACTTTGGCAGTATGTGTGAGAGAATCTGCTATTTATGCTTTGAATCAATATTTTGTATTTCTTTGTTTTGTTTTCAGATTAATCTTGGAAGCAACCAGTATCTTTTCTCAGTTGTTGTGGATCCCAAAGAAATGCCATGCTTCTGCCTGAGGCATGATGTTGATGCTCTTCTCTGGCAGCCCCACTCTGACCAACCAGAGAACATGTGGGAACACATTGCAACTTTTAATGCTTTAGGTAAGAAATTAACTTCTGTGTCACACGTCTCTATCTGAGACTTTTCTACCTGAATATTCTTAGTATGGCTTCTGTTGATATTTCACTTCATTAAATTTGAATTTAAAGCTACTATAATTCTGTTGATAGCAGCATGGTAGCTTAATTTTAGAAAAATTAGAACATAATAAATAAAATGTTTATGCCTTGGGAGGAAAATAAGCCTTCTCAGACCATATACAGGATGCAAGCACAGTAAAGAGGAGAGTTCCTTGGGTAAGTGAACTTGAGTTAAAGACTTAAAAGCACAATCACCACCTTAACGCTCACACAGAAATCATCAGGGAAACAGCTGCAGTTCATTGATGACATGTCTAGGTGTATATATGCTTATGGTAATATGTTTTAATAAGTGACCTTTAGATTTTTCCTATCTTATTGTCCCAAGTGACAGGTCTGAAGAATTGGACATGATCACTGTTTCGTCTCTTATAAGAGCTAGGAGCATCAAGTGATGCTGGTAAATAGTAGGTTCAAAAGAAGCTAAAAGAAATACTTCACATATGCACATTTAAGCTATGGAACCCTCTGCCACAAAACTTTGTGGGCATGGAAAGTTTTCATGAATTTGAAAATAAAATAAAATAAAAAATCATCATGACATGAAGAATTAGTCAAGAGTGTAACTGTGCCAGCTCTGGCTCAAGAAGCCCCTAACTCTTCTGAAATTACAGACTGCCAGAAAAGTAGAAAATGTGATTGTGAAGAATCGTTAGTTATTGTATTCTTGCAGTCAGGACTAAGAATTTGTTTTTAACCGCTGTTGGAAGCAGAATCCTAAAGGTCAGAAGCAGAAAGTACTTTGAAAAATATGGATGCAAGAGTAAGAATTGCCATATCAGATCAAATAGCAATATCAATATGTGGTCCACATAGCCCAGTACTGTACCTATCAAGTAAGAAACAGATAAATCAGTTTTCATGAAAATTAATCTGGTCCAGAATTTGCTTCTGCTGTTAACAACTATAGTCTTCATGTTCTCTAAGTGTTCTCTAGACCCATTCCTTCAATAATACCGCAAGTGTGACAATTTATTCCCTCCCTCCCCAAAATACATTTGTTGGACCACACCACTCAGTCTGGGTCCAAAATAAAAGGGAAGATATTAGCTGTTTTATAGAGCTCACACAGGTTACCATAACACGTAATTAGTTTTGTTCTGAGTTTTTGCAATTTATTTAGTTTTGTAATATCAACGACTTTTTAATAGCCTGTTATGTTAACTTAAGATCAAATTAAGCTGTAAGCATCTTAACGAATTGTCTAACAAAAGAGATTAATTTCACAATTTGTTCTTTGTTTACTCATTTCAAATTTCATTATGCTGGGAAAAAAGCAGATGAAAAGGATTAAGATGGTTTTTCATATTACTATTAGTTTCAAGTTTCAATGCTGACTTTGTAGTACTGTTTTAAGATTGTGTTTCTATTGTTTTGAAAATAAGAGGAAGGAAATTATAATATCTTTGAGCTTTTTGTACCTAAGGTGATAAAACCCAACATTGTTCCTGTACTTCTTTCTCCTTATCGTACTATCATTTTACAGTATTAATTGAAGTTTACACTTCTGTACTAATCTAGTTCACCTTTTATGTGCCAGAGGTGATGTAAGTCATCAGCTTGTTTATCTACAACCAAATTTAGAAGTACTTTGCAAGAGCTAGTAGTAAAAAGCAGTATTTTTTAGATTAAAAGGCTAGTTTTCCAAAACCTACAGTATTCATTTCATTGACCAAAGCAATGGTAGTAGCCCTATTTCCTTCTTCCTCTGCTTGAACTTTTGGAATTAGTTTTTAACAAGCTATACAAAGGTGATGATTAAGAAATTAATATTTTTCAGTTCAAGTCTTGGACTGAAACCTAAGGAAGGAGCCAAAGGGAAACTGAAAGGACCAAGTTTTTTGTTCTATATATCTGTCCTAACGACCTTCTGTTGAAAAAAAAGCAATTGGTCTTGAATAGACCTTTGGCTGCCAACGTCTAATGATTTGCTGCTGGTTGAAGGAGTTAGTTGCGTGATCTTGCCCACTCTTGCCATAGTTTACTGAAGAAGGGTGTGTCTTTCACTGACTATTCATTAGTCATAGAATGGTTTGGGACTTTAAGATCAACTAGTTCCAACCCCCCTGCCATGGGCAGGGACACCTTCCAACTAGACCAGGTTGCTCAAAGCCCCATCCAACCTGGCCTTGAACACTTCCAGGGAGGGGGCATTCACAACTTCCCTGGACAACCTGTTCCAGTGCCTCACCACCGTCACAGTAAAGAATTTCTTCCTTCTTGCTGTATAAATCCCTTGCTCCTAACAGGGTTGTATCTGTAAACCAGAAAAATAGAGGACAGTGACTTTTTTTATTTGTTTTTTAAGAAAATAAAGAGCCTACAATTTTCTTTCTGGGAAATCCCATGTAAATACAAGTCCCTTGCCTCAAAAGCTGCTTCTACCTGCAAACCTATACTTAAATCCTGTTTTTATTATTAGTGCCAGTGTTTAAATACATGAATTAAATTAATGAACTCTACACTTGGAAAGGTTTTTCTGGCTGTCGTAATATTTCCGAGTACAGCAATCAAGCCAATTGATAGTCTAGCTATATATTTACTAATTGTCTTGTGGTGAAAACTGTCAAGCTGTTCGAACAGAGATCGCTTTTTGAGAACTGTAGCAAGCATTTGTAAATTTAGAAGTCTTAGCGTTAACATTTAAAAAAAAAACAAAAGAGCCAGAACATGTTCAAGGCATGAAAAAAAGGTACTGTTAATGTGTGATGGTACTGTTGTGGGTTAGCCCTGGTGGACACCTAAGCACCACACAGCTGCTTGCTGTCTTCCTATTCCCCTTCCCTGCCCACAGTGGGACAGAGGAGAGAACAGGAAGACCAAAAGCAAGAAAGCTTAGGGGTTGAGCTCTTTGGGTCAGCTGTCCTGGTTGTGTCCCCTCCCAACTTCTTCTGCATCCCGAACCTACTGGGGGGCAGGCAGAGTTGGAAAAATAGAAAGCCATGACAATGTGCAAGTACTGCTCAGCAATAGCAAAAAATTGCGTGATATCAACACTTTTAGTCACAAATTCAAAACACAGCACCTTATGGTCCACTGTGAACAAAATTAACTCCATCCCAGCCAGCCCCAGTGCACTTACTTTGACCTCTACCCTATGATAATAAGGAAAGAGGAAGAGCCCAAAAAAGTAAACTCTAGCATGCTTGCTGTTCTCAGAGGTGCTGTCTTTCAGTGATAACCATTGCCATGCATTGTTCAGTGGAAGTGAAGCAAATAACCTTTCAGAAGGATGGTAGATCACTTTTCAAAGATTGTGTCTCAAGTCTCTTTACAGAAGTGTGAAAGGAAATCAGTCTGAAATAAGTCTGTTTAATAATTAAGCTCTGTAGTGGAAGAGGAAACGGAAGATTTTTTTTCTTCTCAGTGAATATTAGCAAAGATTATAGCATGTTGAAAAGTAACTCATGTTTTTTTCAGTCAATTCTAAACAGAAGACAAGTTTTAAGTGTCTGTTCAAGATTAGGTAGGCTCAGAAATCTTAAATTATAAATGTAATTACAAACTGGGTGATGAGGGGAGAGAAGAGAGTTATTCTGCTTAAACTCCTAATATTGGGCCAAGATGTGTATCCATGCCTTATGATCCTGCTGAGAAAATGGAACACCTTGTGAGGCAGAGAGGGGCTGGATGTGGGAACAGTATCTAGCTATCTATACATATGCATCAAAAATGCCAGTTAGGAAGATGTACAGAAGAATTGTATATTGGTATTAAATTGGTTAATGCGTACCTCCAAAAACTATTGGTTTATTTAATAACAACATATATCTCTTTCATTTTTTGTTACTAATTCCATGTTATTTTTTAAGGTAAGCTTGATTTCTGTCTTAGCCAGTTGAAGTGCTGTTGAAACCAATATATTATTTATCCCTTCTACTTCTTTTTGGGGTATGCAGGTTATGTCCAAGCATCAAAGCAAGACAAGAAGTTTATGGCTTGTGCTCCAGATTACTCCTATGCTGCTCTTTGTGAGTGCTTGCGACGAGTTTTCATCTATCGTCAGCCGACTCCTCTGTCCACAGTTCTCTACAACAGGAAGGAAGGAAGACAAGTAGGACAGGTTGCTAAGCAGCTAGTAGCAACCTTGGAAGCCAATGATCCTATCTTAGGCTTTCAAGCTACAAATGAGAGATTATTTGTTCTCACAACAAAAACCTTGTTTTTAATAAAGGTGAACTCTGGAAATTAATTATACAATATATTCTGCTGTAGTTTGTGTTAACAATTTGTTAAAGAACTGGTTAGGTAAATGATCTGAGAAGTTCAGTACAATTTCCTGAAGTTTAAAAAGGAGATATCTTACAGGGGCATCAAAATTTTTCATTAGAATTTGTCTGTAAGAGAAAGTTTTTCAACTTTGCTGTCACTGAAGCAAGCTTTTTCAGAGCTATGGGAAAATGTCTTCTGCATTAACAGCTTTCTCAAAGCAATTGTCAGAGGCTGCCTTTGCATAGGTGAATAGATTTATGCATTGTTTTTTCCAAATGACTGTGTTTGCCATCCTTCTGAGTTTCTAGAGTTCATTTCTGTTTTTAAATGCCACTGTTTACATGTGAAAGAAGTAGTCAGATAAAGAAAATAAAGCTTTGAGTTACAAGCATATGATGTGCAAAGTAGTGTGTATCACAAAAAAAAAGAAAAATCCCAAATTCAAATACTGTTGGCAAAAAAAGTGACTTAATATTTCAATATTCAGTAGTATTGAGTGAAATGTGAATGGTATGAATGGAGTATTATGTTCCTCATCCAGGTAATTAATTCAAGTGGAATAATTTCATTGTATATGCAGATTTTAGATGATTGATTTCGGACTTACTCATGCTTGCAGTGAAATCTGTTCACATTTTCAGAGACACTAGAACAGCTTTTAGCAGCTTTTTCCTGAAGCAAAGTAAGGGTCAATGTATAGCTGGTGATTAAATATTGAATGGTGTTAGTCAAGGTCTGGTTATTTTCAGTTGTGTCATTTTCATTTGACATTGTACTTCATTTCAAGTGACTAATTTATAATTGGAAAATGGCTAATAGAAAAAGCACCTGTATTGTAACCTGAGATGGGAAACTCAGAAGTGCCGCTTCTGCCTCAGATACTACTGTATATGCTGTGTTATTAGGTAACCATTCTGTCTGTGATGTACAAGTCCGAATGTGGTGTATTTGCAATGTAAGAGTACACAGCCCATGAGGATGCTTCAGTTTAACAAACTGGCATGGTTGATTGTATTGAATAGTTGTATCTGAAGATTTTTGTTTCTTATTTTAAATTGACATTGTCAATACAGTTAAACCAAAAAGGGGTCAGTTGTGACAGCTCCACCCTGGGTTGTTTTTTTGTTTTGGGGTTTGTTTTTTTTTCATAGTTTACTTACAACTCCGTAACAAAGAATGCCTAATATATTGTGTACTGGCAGGAAAGCTGCTGTGGGCTGTGGTACCAAAGTACTGATAAAGACACAAATTACTGAGACTGACACAAATACAACAAGTGGCCTAATAGTTTGCATCTCTTCCAATATTATTTCAGACCTCCGTAAGAATCTATTGAGAGGAAAATAAGTGTTCCTTTTTTATGGACTAATAGTTTCTTAGCTGTGATTGTTTTGATTCTCCTGTAAATTCTCCTGACTTGTATCAGTGAAATGATTAAGATACGGAGAATTTAAAAGGGAGACAAGCAGTTGTGGCTTGCAAAAAACCTCCAAATGCAGGAGGTTTTCAAGGAACCTGATTTGCCTCCTCTTTACAGCAGTATTATATTGTATATCCAATATTGAAAAGTTTTTCCTTACTCTTACCTGGGAAAGTTAAAACAGACTTGATTTGCAAACCTTCCCTTCTCATTCTATTTTTTTAAAACTGTCTTGAAAATGCTTTTTAAAAAGGCTCAGTGAATGTATTACTGTTTTGTGACTGTTTTGCATCTGAATTTTCATTGTTGGGCAGTAATGTCAAACAAAGTGGTACAATTTATGCAGAGGTCCCTTAGAAAAGATTTTATGTAGTTGATTACTGTGCAACATAAAGTGCTTTGAGATTTATATGAGTATTACTTATTAAATGATTTAATCATTGGGACCACAGAGTTAAGAACATGTTGTGATATTTGGGGAATGGAGGAATGAAGGAGTGAAGGATTCATAGGTGACATGCTTTTGTCACCTCAGGTCTATTGCAGGAAGCTTCAATATAGATGAGAACGTCAGCTGTTCTTTGTCAGATTCTCCGTGCTGTGGGTTAGATATCTGGAAACATACTTCTGCTGTCTCCTGCAACAGAGGAAACAAAGTCAAGTAAAACAGTTACCTCTTCAGAGGCTGTGTTACAATATGTAATGACTAAAACTCACATTCTGCCCAAATGTGTGTCTGTTTCAAGGGATTTCTTGTTTGCTCCCGGGAACAACTGAACATGGGGAAGAGGTTCATCCCTTTTTCCATGTTACTCATCTATTTGCAATCATGGTGTTCTCTGTCAGATAGTCTCTCTTTTATTTTGCTTTCTATGAGAGTTAAGAACATTGTATTATTCAAAAGATTTGTTGCCTTGAGGAACCTTGCATGCTATTGCACAGCAAGCTACTATAATTAAATGGCTGCAAGCCACAAGGAGACACTTTTCCATTTCTGTGTTCACTTAATTTTAAGGCTCATTTGTTTAGCGTATTACTGTAGGCTTATATGAAGTATAGAATGTGAATATTTAAAAGAGGTGGTTTTCTGAGAACCATACTTCAATTTTTCTAGGATTTTATTTCTTGAAATCTTCTATTTTAAGACACAGTACTTCCTGAGAGGTCCCAATCACAACCTGTTGACAGAATTTCTGAGAAAATATTTGGCTATTGCAGACAATATTATTTATTTCTAATACTCTTTTCAGTGTTTTACTTGGCTGCATATTTGGAATGTATCATGTATTCTTCTACAAGTTTAAATAAATGGAAAAAATGTTAAGTTTATTAATAAAGGGTTTTTTAAATTTTAAAGGATTTCTGTTAATTTAAAATGTGCATCCTTCCTCTGCTACTGAAACAAAATAGAAGAATAGAAATAAGAAATTCCTTAAAATAAGACTTGTTACATTAAGGAGCTTTCTGTTAGGGCAAAGTTCCGATGGGTGTCTGCGCTGCAAAGTCACGTCTGTTGCCGAGACATGCACTATTGCACTCCTCGTTCATTGCTGTGAAAACCCCTGTACAGTCTTTTTTGTGTCCCTTATCTGCCAACATACAAATTGATGGAGGTAGTTACTGGATGGGTTTGATAAGTATTCAGGTGTATTCTTGTGTTAAAGTGCACATTGCATCCTCTCATACTGTGTCTTTATTGTATACAAGACCCAAATGATCTGGACAAACCCTCCTAGATGGAAGAAGGAGAGACATCTGCACCCTCAACCCAGGGGTGCTTTTTTGCAGGAGAGTGAAGGAGAAGAGGAAGGATTTGGTCTGTACGTATGTCCTCTGTCAAAAGGTGGCTCCATTAGTGAAACAGCAGACCCTCTGAGAGTAACAAATAAGTTGAAGCTTATGTTTTATTTCGTTTTCCTGTGCTTTGTTTCAATAATGGACATTATTACCACTATAACTTTTGAATTTCCTTGCCTTCTGTCAATTTATATTTTCTATTCTCATTATGCAGGTAAGATGAACTTGAAGCCTGCAGTCAATCACACATTAGCATGTAATAACAATTTTTAGTTTGTTTTAAAATTTTGTGCTGCCAGTCTCATGTGTCATTTGTAACAGCTTTCTGGAAATCTGGTGAGATTTCTTTCCCCTCCTCCCCATGCAATGCATTTGTATTTGTGCTATGGATAAAGATTAGCAAGGTCAAAAGGCAGCTTTGCTGCAGTCTTTGAGGTAGAAGAACCAAGTATCAACCAAGCCTTTTGGTCAAGACTATTGCAATAATTTCAAACTCAAGATTTAGTACTATTTTGCTTGGAGAAGTATTTGATGGAGTAATTTTTTTTTTTCTTTAAAAAAGTTTTAAGCTACTTCTGAAAAATTACTTTCTTTTAACAAAGATGTTTACCGTGATGTGGTAGCTGGGTATCGATTAAAATATGTTGTTAGATATAATTAACAAGTTCAGATGTAGACCTGGAAAATACTTATCATAATCTTTACTGATCTGATGCTCTAGGCAAAATACCCCTTATAAACCATTCCAGTGTGTTTCTGCAATCTAATTAAGTTGGCACTTGCAAGGAATTGTCAAGAACAACACAAGAAACTCAATTTTAAAAAATCATTTTAGAGTGTCACTTTTATTATGTGATGATGAATATACATTATCCACTAGCCTTTCTTAATGTATTAGTTGCATTCTGAATGTGCGAGATTTGTGTGTGTATATACGTTTGTATTTTCATCTATGTTTGCATATGCACACACATGTATGTATTCATACTGCCTTAAAGTATTGGGGAAGATGGGGTGGATTCCAGAGAGGAGAATCTTTTAACACTGCTGACAGCAGAGCATAGATTCTTCATTAATCTGTTCATGAGTGAGTCTGTTGTGAAGCCAGCGGTCTGACCTTAAGTATAAGTATTTTGCTGTATGCTAAACCATGGATTTACACTTGGGAATAAGTTCTTGAATGTGAAGAAATTAATTCAAAGGCCTCCTGGAATCTGTATTATGTTTTTGGTTTATCTTTACTGTTTTTGTCCAACTGTTGTTGTCCCACATCAAAATGCAAACACCTGTAAGTCTGGCATAAATGTGTTGTAATATCATGATAACAGCTTTATGCGAAAACATGAGTTATGAATCCTGTGGAGTTTTTCCTCTGCTGAGGATTAAATATATGATATCTCAGTATTGCATTATACCCAAACTTAAACAGCTCAGAGGCCAAGTATTGAGCAGATGCCTCCAGATGGAAGAAAGGATGCAGGAGTAATAAGCATTTATTTTTATCAAAACAAGTGAGTTTTAGTAGGAAAAGAATTAAGATCCACTGACTACTAATTCAGTCACTTTATCACTGAAATTGCTGCTGACTGGCCTTTAATGATTTTTCTCTCTGAAAAGCTGTTCCTTCTCCCTGTTCCATGTGTCCTCTTTAATAAATATACAGTACCTTATGGTAATTTAAGGTTGAACAATTTATTGGAATTTCCTGAATAACTGAATTAGACTCGCACATGGGGTATCTAAAATACAGGCATGAGGTACAAGATGGATATGTCTAGTCATAAAGAGACCAGGAACACTGGCTCTTGATTTGATCAAGAGCTGGTGGCCGTCTAAACAGAAATAAAAACTGATGCTGTGAAGACATTTTTGTGAGTTGCAATGTCATATTCTAGAAGGAGTAAAAACATGGGAATGTGTGCAGAATAAGCTTGCTTAGGCAAGATAAAATATACACAAGTTGCCTTTTAAAATCTCCTAGAAAAATATGCAATACTCCATTCAAAGTAGTTGGATCAATCAGAAAGAGAACACGTGTGTGATCCAAGACTTCCTCTGTTCCCATTTTATATGCATTTGGCAAGGGTAAGTCATCAGCAAAACTGCCTGGATGCTGATGTGATCAGCATTACTCCTTTTGTGCTGTTTCTTGCCTGATGTAGCTGCTGTCTGAAAAAATCACAAGTATAATAGCTTACAAGATATTTAAATAAAAAAGTATTGGCTGCAGTTAGCAGTGTGGTTCTGAACCTCTTTGGATCCAGTGTGACATCTGATAAAATCTGCCTTTTTACATGAAACCAAAAAACCCCCTAAAACTCAGGCTGCTTTATTGTTGTTTCACTGTTTTTCTGAGAAGGACATCAGTAGCCTTTTTCTCTCTGTTCTTAGAAATCTTTGTCTTGTGCTTTAGAAAACAGGTGCACTGTCCTCAAAGTTTGAACCTGGTGTGTCTTAATGCCACGGGGACATCAATGAATCTGTCACTGACCCTGCTTCAGAGACAAATTAGTGTGCGAGTTGCTTGAACTGCTAGCTATTCCATCGGGAAGTGGGGAAAAAGTGAAGTCAGCTTATTTTTAGTAGGTTCGCTTTGTTTACATGGCTGCAGTCTCAGCTCCATGCATTTCAATATACTGGAAGGTCTCCAGTGCCCAAACAAAGGAAGCTGTGGGCTAGTAAGCTCAACGTTTCACTGGGTGAACACATCTGATGTGTCTACGCAGATTTTAGTGCTCTTCCGCAGTTATCTAATGTCACAAATCTCTATTTTCTATGATAGCAGAAATAAGTTAACTTGCTAACTGACTGCAGTATCTACTTTGGAAGGAAAGACCATGAAGCAGATTCTTGGAGATACATTTCTGTATCAAATGTGATTTAAACCATGA